ATATACAAAGATTTTTCATGCCTTAAGTTACAAATTTAATTTTTTTAAAGATATAAAGTAGGTATTTACTCAAACTAATTAATTTATATTTGATGGTTCATTTCAATGAACACTTTATAGACCTATTTATCATAAAAACTGTCTTTAATTTTATCAGTTCTATTTATAAATTCGAATAGATCAATCAAATAAGAGAAAATAACATAATTTACTTTATTTTGCAAATGATTCTATTTTAATTGGAACTTAAATATGAAATTTTAACTTATGAGTAAATAATAATATCTTAGTATAATTTATACACTCTACAACGTTGCGTATAGTAAATACAGATTATTATGATAAATCAAATACTTCAGATATTAATCTTTTATGATTTTAAATAATTTTGTTAGTACAAGAGAGTTTAGAGAGTTAAATGTAGTATTATGAACATCAAAGTTGCAAATTAAAATTTTCAAAATAAATAAATACACAAAATAACATAACTTGCTAGTAAGAAAAAAAACTTTATGCAGCTATTATGTATAAAACGACCACAATATTAACTTATATATTTAGTGTAGTAAGTTAAAAATTTTTAAATATAAATTTCTCTAACCATCGAAAATTTCTATGAAAAATAGAACTTTAATAAGATAAATGTTTAAAAATGTTTTTATGATACTTTGAAAATAGTTCATTGATAATAATATTTGACGCCAGTCATAATAAGAGTCCGGATTTATGCTTATCTAAAATGTTAAAAACTACATGCATTTAATTATATAACAATTTTTGAAATTATTATACGAGTATAACTATTTTTAAGTTATTAATATTTTTATACCTGGTAAAAAGAGGCCAAGAAATGTTTAATGATATGTTTAAAAGTTATTTACAGTTATTTTTAGTAATAATTAAATAAAGAAAAAAGTTATTTTAAAACTCTTAAATGTAAATGTTAAACTTTTTCAAAATGTCTCGCGTATTCAATTTCCAGACATTTTACAAAACATATATATATATGATTAAGTTATGGATTAATAAACTATTCAATGCTTACATTAAATGAAATGAGGAACTTATAAATAATAATGATTATTTGTTAAACCTAATTAATAATAAAGTATATTCTAAGTTGAATTTTATATATTTTTCAAAATCTAATTTTAGAACTTTATAATTTACTATTTTTCTATATAAAGAATAATAAAAAACCAGTTAAAATTAGGAAACATAATTAAATTCTATTGAAAAAATAGACTTGTTATTTATAATTCTGTTTATTTCATTTGCTAAAAAGAATTATTATTATTATTATTTCATTGAATGATTAATAAAATTGTTCGATGAACCAATTATTAAGTTTACATTTACTTTTTTTTTTGTTGACACTTCTTTAAACGATAGTAAGTAGTTATCGTTAGGTGCCATTTATGCATACATATTTTCATGTGATATTTATGTTAATATTTACCATTACATATACTATGTCCACAATATTTACAAAATACTAACTTTTTACCAACAAAAGCTTGCCAAGTTTTGTCGTGTGTAGTGATCCGTTATAAAGTAAAAAATATATGCGGTGACTTAAAGATCATGAAAACCCACTATTTAGACGATTTTTTTTTCTAGTTTAGTTTGGAGCCTGTCCTTCTTAAAACATACTTCTAATTTCATTGTAATGATTCAGAATTATATATTAAATGCCTTATAAAATCAAAACTTCACAAAAAATAAAAATAAATTCTTTTACTTATATAGATGATATTTTTTTCATAAATTGCAAAAATAAAAATAATTATGTCAATTATTTATTTAATAAACTAAATATCTTGTAGTAAGCTGTATAAAAATAAATTAACAACATTTAAATATTAATAAAAATCTGTCAATTAAATATAATAACAATATATAGTTAAGCATAATTATTTATAATAATTTAACAAAATAAATATATTGAAGTTAAATACAAGGTAATTTTTTTAATGCTAGCCACTAGATTTCTCTTAAAATAATAATTATGTAAAGAAAATATAATTTTCTATTTTTTAGTATGTTATATTTTTTTATTTATTTTTAATTCATACCTAATACTTTATAAGGGTAATTTTATTTTATTAAATGAAAACATACGGATTGAGTGAAAACGGAAAATTATAAATAATGTAACTACAATGTTTGAATGTAAACGATGAAATTGGCCCAAGTTGATTTTGTATACCCACTTTAATTTTATAACATCTATGAAAGCGCAATGTGGCTTCTTAATGAGGAATGTTACACCAAATATTTTCTTACTAAAAAACCAAAAAGATTTTTTTACAAGATAAAAGTTAATATAGTTTAAAAATGCATTTTAAAATTATTTTATGGAACATTGATTGGTGTAAGTAGGGTATTGTCCTGGGAGGGATGTGCGTCCAAAAATGTTTCGCTGTTCCCTCAAAATGAAAAAAAAAATTATCGTCGTTATGTAATTACTTATACTCGTATCTTCGGGGAATATAACAGCCATATATCCCCATATATTAATGTCAACAAATTATTTCTCAAGTTTTTAACTCACTGTAGAAAGATTAACTATATTTGATTTTCAGTGCAATAGTTATTGCTCCGAAGTTGTAATTATTACGTATAGACAAATTAGTGGTTATAAGATTACTGGGAAACTATTCTTATTTTAACTCATAGTATATTACCCTATCAAAATTGTAATTTTTTTTCAGAACTTTTAGTTCTAAAAAAAATTTAGCTAACAAAATACATCTAATAATTGGATTTTAATATTTATTAAAAAAAACCCAGCACAGTGGGGTGGCGGCACAGTGGGGTCGTGGCATAGTTGGATCCAGTATAGATGATATCTGACAGTGATTAAAATCACTATCATAAAAAACGCTTCGATGCAAATCTGTAGATAGTGTTTAATTAAAAAAAAAAAAATTGTCAAAAAAGTAGGTCAAATGAGAGCTGAGAAAATAAATGATAGCTACAAAAAAAAACCACATAGTAAAATAATATTTATATGAATTTCTTCTCACGAGAGGAGACTACAGTAATGGAATCCTTGATATTTATTCAAGTTATTGAATCTAAATGAGATAAAAATCAAATGAGTTAAACATTTTTTTTTAACTCAAAAAGAATTAAAAAAAAATTCAGTGCCACAGTCGTGAAAGACCCAAGTGTTACCGTCTCAAAAACCGTACGTCTCATTCGTCACTTAATAAAAATGGATATTTGACTAGTTCAAATTTTAAAGTTTTTTTTTTCGACTTCAAAGAAACAAAAAAATTTAAATATGATTAATTTTTTATAATATGTCATTTAGATTGATATAATATTTATGAAAATCAGTGTAATCTCCTTATAATAAAATAAAATACAAAACCAAGAATTTCAACACAATAATAGCATATTTTTATATACGGGAGCTATTTTCACCATGTATTCTCCTAATAAGATATTTTAAAATAAAATAAAATACAAAACCTAGAATTTTAATAGAAAAATAGCATATTTTTTAATTACGGCAGTCGTTTGCATGCAGAAGATAAAGTGTCGGGACAAATTTTTTTTTTTTATTTTATAGTACATAAAATAAGATTTCGTTAGATATATGTTTAAAAGACGCAGTATTTCTGGAACATTTTCAAAAATTAAGTTGAAAAAGTTAGTTTTTGTAAAACAGTTCCTATTTTAAATCCCCCCCAATGAGCAGGTTAAGTGTTAGATTTTCAAAAAAATGATATCAAATAAAAGGAAAATATCTAAGGTTTTAGTATAAAAAAAAATTATGTTGATTTGTTTATTTTTGAAAAAGTTATGGAAGTTTTAAGAAAAAAAAGTGAAAAAAATGACAAAATTTATCGATTTTTAAATTTGTAATTTTTTTAGATATTTCCCTCATTTGCGTGGAACGAGGGAAAATTTTTTAATTTTTAAGGGTAATGTCTTCAACTAGATACAATTTTTGATCTTTTGACGTATTGTTGAAAGAAATCGGTCCAGTGAGAGCTGAGAAAAAGTGACAACAGACATAAAAAAAAAAATTAAGTTATTTGGTTTTTAAAAAAATTAGTCTATTTCCAAGAGCAATATTTAATTGTGTCTAGATCTAAATTCACTAGAAATATAAATTAATAAGATTTATTAAGCAAAATATAATATTAACGCTTTAATTTGCAAATAATACTGCCAAAACCACACTATTATAATTAAAAAATAACGCAATGCCTAAAGACTAATGTTCATATATACCAAACTTAAGAAGTCTAGCATACATTGCCAGTATTATTATTATACATTATTACCATTAGTATTATAATTCACAATGATTTTTCAACATGGCAATGTTAAAAGGAAATATATTCCCTAAATTTATTTCACATAAGAGATGGACAATAGTTCACAGAAACATATTTGTAAGGTTTGTCTTATTAAATCAGGGAATATAATGTGTAGTATTACATAATTGAAAAGCGAATGAAATAACGAAAAAATTTAATTAAATTATTCCTTAAAAATAATATTTAAGAAAAATATATGTACTAATGACGTTTGTGTAAAAAAACCATCAAATAATTTGTTTTCGATAAAATTCTTTAGCGGTTTGTGTATGGTCATCATGGTCATCATGATTAACTGTACTAAGTACTTGATGATTAAATTTAATCTTTGCATTTAGGTTAAAACAAATAAAAAGAATTATTGTTTTTATGCAGCCAACTACCAAAATTTAGTTAGGTTTCTCAATAGTACAACATACGTTGGTTACTAATGTTTCACTATATACTTCATGAAAAAACGTAATTTCAGTAATTAATATTGTAGAATTATCTTAAACTTTTACATTTAAAAAAATTGACATAAAATTTAAAATGTACATTAATAAATTACATTATAAAAAAAATGTAGGTAAATCAAAGATTACTTCAATTGTTAAACATTACTGATTTATTTTTTTAGTGAATTTTAAAGTGTTTTTATTAGATTATTTTTTGTTATTACAGATATTGTTTGCAGTGATGAAAATGTTTTGGACGGTAAGTACATCAAAAGAAAAATTTAACAATCTGTATATACGACATTTTACATAAATGTATAATGGTTAAGCTTCTATACTAAAACTTCTATATTTTTTTATTAATTGCTAATTTTTTTTACTTAAAACTGCTTAACTTTTTCAATATCATTATATCAATATAATTTTTTTTTATAGATGCATAATGTCTTTACCTATTATTTGATATATTTTTTATAAATTTGATACTTTACCTGCCCATAGGGGGGGATTCAAAATGACAATTTTTTCACAAAAAATTAACTTTTTAAAATGTTTTGGAAATACTGACACTTTTATAAACACCTTAAATTAAAACTAATGTAATATACTTTATCATAAAAAAAAAAAATTCGGACTTTATTTTGTCTTTACGGTGAAAACAGGCATCAAAGTTCATAAAAAAATACGATTTTTGTAAAAAAATTCTTTATATATTTTTAACTTTATAATGCTATAAAATTTTGAAAAATGTATGGACCAATACAATTTTTTTATGAGAAATAATATTTATATCTTTTTTTCATTCAACATACTTTTTTTTTAAATAACATCATTTTCCTTTATATATTTGTATATTATATAAATATAATAAATATAGATATTTATTTATTCATATATTACACTTATAAATCATAAAATTTGTAATCAGGATATAAATAAGGAAATAGGAGATCATGTAGCTTTTGGAATAATTCATCAATTTTTTAAAATTAAACACTATCTACAGATTTGCATCGAAGCGTTTTTTATGATAGTGATTTTAATCACTGTCAGATATCATTATACTTGACCCAAATATGCCACATCCTCACTGTGCTGGGTTTTTTTTTTGTTCTAAAACTGTTTAGATAAATGACCTACATTTTTATCTTACTGTTTTTTTTATTTATGTAATAGAAGTGCCCATTTTAAAACATCATTATGATAATAGGCGAAACTACTGCTCGTGCCTACAAGGCCAGACTTAATATTTAGAATCCTTTGTGGATAATAAGTGTAAAACTTGGTCAAGTGGGGTTCTACAGAAATGTCACAAAATTATTAAATTTAAATTATAATAATGTATGAATTTTATATAAGCCAAAATAATAATAAGAAAAAAATCCTAAACAAAAAGAAAAAGTGTGTAAAATTTCTTAATAATTTTAAATACAATAGTTAATAGTCTCTTATTTTATCAGTGTAAATTATTTTTTTCCAGGGCTAGCGTTAGAGAAGGTAATGTAACCCATCTTTTTGGGGGGCCTGCACTTTAGAGCATTACCTACACAAACCTTTTCATTAATTTACGTGGTATCAATAAGGTGATCCAATACTAGTCATAAACAGAATATATTGATATAATTATTTGTTTACACGTATAGTATTTGTATACATGAACTATAGTATAAAATCGTATTTCTAGACGTATAATAAGTCTCCAGATTCTGTTGTATTACCCATTATACAAGGTGTTCAGTAAGTTAGGAAACAGTTAAATTGTTACAAACAATGAGTACAATAGAAATTCGTTTCCTTATTTACTGAACACCCTGTATAAATTATTGACGGTATTTTAGTGAGATAACAATATTGATAAATATTGATTTGGGTTTTGATGGCTAGTTAATTAGATAGAAAAAATTTAATGTCTCTTATTAATATTCTTCTTTAACTGATAGACTAAGTTGTCCTAGCTTTACAAGAAAACATAAAAACAAGCCATTGAAAATTTAATACAATTTTATTTGGCTTAGTTTATCTAAAGTTTAGTTTCGCCTATAATATTGATATATTTTAAATTTTGAGTTTATTGATATATTATGTTTCATAAAAGTAGAAATGACGGTAATTTAAATTATTATAGATCTTATAGTTAATGTATCTAAAATGAGTAACATTTTGAAACTAACTGTTGAACTTAGCCTTACTAAACTTTTTAAAATTAAACTAATTTAAAACTTTTAAAGAAAAACTAACAAATATACGAAAGTTGAAACTTTATCCCAAAAATTTAGTTGTTTGTTTTATTATCTAAAAGACGCATCGTACATAATGTAAATGGTACACTGACAAAATCATTTTATTCCGGTTCCGGATACGTCTAACGAAATTAAGTCTAAAGGTATTCTAGTTAGAATAACAATAGTACTCGAGTACTGAATATCATCTCTGAAACAATATAATTTTGTAAAATGGTAACTATTAAAAACTGAAAATAATGTTAATATATAAATTTAAAAAATATTAGGATAATTGTTATATTTTAATGTAAAATGACTCTACTGAAAAGTAAATTACTACAAATTAATTTATGATTGCTAAGATTTAAACGATAACGATAAAAAGAAATTTTCTTTAATAAAATAAAAACATAACTCATCAGTTTATTAAATTCAACGCTAATCACTTCAGGTCCTATCAACTAGACTACATTAGAAATGTAATGACAGCATAATCAATACTTAACATTAAACTTAAAACGACTTTAGATATTGACAACTTCACTTCCGAAAGATATTCAAAAAGCTGCAAAAATGTTTTCCTAACCCACCAACATAAAACTTACTAAAGATATTCTAACTCCTGAGCTTAGATAATTAATTTCCGGAAATAAGAAAGATGGATCTAGGTGACAGCTAATTCAGTTCTTAGATGAAAAGCATAAATACAATTTATTACCAAATAAATTTAAAAAACTACTTCAAAATCATAGAAATGAAAACTACGAGGCACATCTTAAATTACTCTGTCTCTTAAATGTCTCATTATGGAGAAGAACCAAATCACTCTCCAAACACAAAGAAGTTTCTTATCCTCTACGTATACCAGATTATTCTTTAATTAAAAATTACCAAAAAAAAATCTGACGCTCTTCTTAACTAAAATTTAACAATCTTTCAGTTTCATGTCATGTGTCGACCTCCTCACAAGTTAACAAAATTGAGCAGCACCTAACGTACCCTTTATCAAATACATTTCTCATTGAACAAATCAACAGTCTATGATCTCATCACGAATGAAGTAATAAAAAATCCCTTATATAAATTAATCATTCTCATCACATTAATATTTAACACCGTCTTATGTATATCATATTTTTTCTATAGTATAGAAAAAATCAAAAATCGTTATAGTTTCCTAACCGGTAAGCCACCTGAAACTCCACTTTTTTATAGGCCAATTAGTTTCCTACCAGCACATGAAAAATAGCTTGATAAACAATAACGAATTAGTAATAATTACTAATTCGTTATTTATCTATTGTCTAAAAATTAAAAACAATTCTTAATTTCTAATATAGTTTTTGTGCATTGATGGGTAGCACGCAACTATATATCAATTACATAGTTTTCACAATAAAGCTCAGGACTTCCTTTCGATCTGACACCCTGGCCTGTTTTTCAAAATCAAAAATATATTTACAACATCACATTACCTATTGATAAAATTCTACTTAGAAAATCGAACCTTTAAAGTACGGATTAACTACCAAAATTTCAAAAACAAGTTTCAAGCCGGTGTTCCCTAAGACAGTGACATAGTTTTATGTCTCAATATAATGTTTACCTCAGACTTACTAACATTCTTCACACACAATTTTTGACATACACTGATAACATTGAAATATAAGCATCTAATAGAGTTCCTAATATAGAACGATAACAATTAGATGAACACTTTGACACTCTTGAAAAATAATTAAAGAATTTGAAAATTAAAGTATATGAAACTAAATTATTACATGTCACAGTTAAAATTCGCTCTCTAAATTAATTTTTCGTTTCAGAAAGTGGTTTTCTCATCATCCAATTACCTCAAATAAAATATTTAGGCTTGATATTTGACAAGCGTCTAACTTAGTCTCCATATTTAAAAGAAAATTTCAAAACACTAAACTTCCGTTTTAATATGCTAAGACCATTACTATACTTAAAAGTATCACTCAAGATCAAAATTTTCCTTTATGATGCTATACTGAAGTCAATATAGATATATGGTATCATTATCTGAGGTTTAGCTAAAGTCTAAAATGTTAAAATTAACCAATCTTTCCAATTTATTTATCTCAGAACAATCAAAAAGGTACCTTGGTATGTTAGAATATCTCTTATCACTCTGATCTTACCATAAACACATTTGTTACACTCAAAATTTAGGTTGAGTGATATATCAAGATATTAAGAATTTTATAAAGAGTGTCCTAGATATAACTGATAAAACTTATTACTTTTGGTTCAATTATCATTCTTTTCTTATACTAGGGCATATTTTTTATTATTTATCAGTAAAAAGAAAAAGTTTAATTTTTTTTAGAATTAAATAATAGCTACTTTTTACCTCTTTTCTTGCAAAAAAATTTTGATTGGTCGATAACAACTTTAGGATAAATATTTATTGAGTTACAAGAATTTTAATAAATATAGTAGGTAAAATAAAGTTTTATAAAAACTATTATGACACTTGAAGGATAAGCCCCCAATTTTGAACAACTCTTTTTTAATAACATAAAATTATATCAAAAAAGTTTTAAAAATTATTATGATTTTTCATTTTTTTTTATAATAACTTAATTGTTTAATTAATACTTAATAACTAACTAGTAATTATATCAAAAATAAAATGTAATGGAAAAAATCTGAAGGCAGATTTGGAATCATTGTTGAAATATCTTATAAAATAAACTAAATATTTTGGACAAAAAGTTTTTCATATTTACTTTTCTTTGTAATTATTAAAAGAACAATAATTTATCAAAATAATAAATGTTTAAAAGTTGTCAGTTAGGTTTAAGACACTCTGATATATAGTGTTAACTTTAACGCATCAAATGTAAAATTTTTATTAAAAGATTTAATTTTTAGTTAGAGTACTCTAACTAAAAAGAAAAAAAATTTACGTAGGTTTAGTCCATTCTTTTAAGCTTTTTTTCAAAAGCGTGCATTATTTCTATATAAAATATCAATAAATATTATATTAGAACTGTTTTCAAAAAATACTTCTAATTTTAAGATTATTTGATAAATAAAAAATAAAAAAACTTTTAAAATAAACTTTACTAGAATTTTTTTAGTTGCTGTTCAAACAATAAAAGCATAATATGTAACAATACAAAATAGTTTTACAATTAACAATCTTCCTTGGTGTTGATTAATAATTATATGTACGTTTAATAGGAATAATAACTTTGAATAATTAATTAAATATATGATTACCTTGGAGTGAAAGTAATTGTTAGATTTGCCACCCGATTAAATGGTACTACGCCTTCGGTAGGTAAAATCGTAAACGTTTCACATTTCGAATATGCAAGAAAAGTTTCCGTGCCTATTATTAATATAAACAAAAATGAAATTATTATTCAACAAAAATTATGAAAAAGTGAAGAGGATGGTACCGAAAGTAGTGACTGAGAAATCGTTTTTCGGAAAATTTAATATCTAACAATGTGGAAACGGGGTCAACAACTAGGTTAATCTATACATTTATTAATTCACATGCACATAAATCTTACACACCTGAATAAGAAGATAACTTCACATCTATGGATTTTGTCTCTCTTATGGCCACTTTGTCAAAATTTATGTTTTTTACTGACAGTTTTAGCACCGGATAATGTATGTGCAACTCAAAAGAAGTTACTACCTAAGTATAGTAGTAAAACAGAGTGTAAAAAGAATAGTTTGTTTTTTAAATTTATCTAGTTAATTTGTCAGAGTTTTTTTGAAGAATGATTTTTTTGTTGGGTTGATAAATTTAATAAAATAAATAGGTCAAAATAGTTTGCGAACATCAATGTTATTTACAAAAAATTTATAACTAATTAAAAATAAATATATTTAGTGAAATAATTCATAGTTAAAAACATCAAAATAGATATTTTATCTATATGATAAAATAAATACTATATAATACATGAAAATTTTAAAAGTTAAAAATTAATCTAACATTCTGTGTATAATAACACTATATGAAAACTTAAATTAGGTATATGAAATTTTATATTGCATATTCGTTTATTTATGAAACAAAATTGTTTTATTTTCATACTCTAAAAAGATACTAAATTATAAGTTATTTGAATAAAAAATATATAATTCAAATAAATGGTATTCTCACATTCAAATAAGTAAATTAAAAACAAGAAATTCTGATGAGATAGAAACACGTGTAGCTATATAAATCATATACCGGCCACTTGGGATAAGTGTTTTAATGCAGAAGGAAACAACCTAAGGAAAATGTTTCAAGATTAATAATTTACACCTCGTCTAATTTATTGCACTGTCAGTAAAATCTTTAACTGCATAATACTCACCATGTTGGAATACCGTTTAGTTGAGCTATTGCATCGATTACAGAATTATATAGAGTGTTCAGTAAGTAAGAAACCAGCCAATTGTTATAAACAATGAGAACAATAAAAACCCGTTCCTTACTTACTGAACACCTTATATAATTAATAGTTAATGTTTAACTTATTAATATCCTAGAAAAAATTACAATACATAAGATTATCTAAAACTTACTCTTGGATTATATATTGATTCTGAACATTTAGCATATAACTTACTAGACAAAACTAACTTTCTTGAAATTCCTTGTATAGGCATTTTTGGTGTATTTAAGTTCATAATCGAAATTACAACTTCCAATTCTATCTGTATAAAGTTTTAGTAAAATGCAAAATACTGTTTACGTTATTATTACACGAATAATTTATAATTTTATAAATCATTTTTATAAATTGGTTTCAATAAAACTTATTTTAATTCTTACATTAATTAAGTCTTCGTAAAATATTCGAATCTCAGTATCACCTGGTTTAGTACCGCATCGTAAAGTACGAATAGATTTGATAAAGAATGGAGCATCAATTTCGAAAACTATGGCACTAGGGTATTGTAATATGTTCAACAGAGCTATATGTCGAGTAATCTTATGATGTGCTTTTTGATGGCTATATATTTCAACGGCTGAAATCTTGAGAAACACATTATATTAAAATGGTATAATTTTTCAAGTCAAATATTATGGAAAAACTTCATTTGCGTTTTTATTTCAAGCAGAACATTAAAATATATTAATAGCGCCCGTCAAGTTTTTTTCATTTCCGGTAATTTATCATTTTTTTAATGGGTTATAGTATACATTTAATTACCTGAAATATATTATTTTGATCCCGTATAAGAAAATTAGGTAGCAACGAGTGTCTCGTTTCTGACCGAATATCAACTGTCAGTGGCAACATGTTAAAACCATCTACTCTCGTGCAGTTTTTTCTGTAATAACGAATCATAGTATTATTATACAAAAACAACAATTTAGTTAAATAATGTCTAATTTACTATTGGTGGTATTATACCGCTAAAACATTTTGAAGTATGTTAAGTTTAAAATATATTTTATAGAATACCAAGGCTACTTTTATACCGTAACAACTAAGATAGTTTCGTTACTAAATATAATTCTATACTAAGAGCAAAATAGAGATGTTTGGTTAGTTTGTGGTTTAGGGTTCAGAAAACTTCACTCTTAGGTTTCATAGTCGTGATGAGTTTTCGGAATATAAACATTTTATTTGTTTAATTAATAACAACCATAAAAGTATTTACTTACTCAGGAGGATTTAGTGATGTAACTATACCAATAGCTTTTCCAAATGTGATGTTTTTTTCGTTACGTTTAACCAAAAGCTCCTTACTTCGGTCTAATGAAAATGTTACGAATTTATTTTCTCTCGGTTTTATCGATAAAATTTTTGGATCTACCTGGTAATAAATCAATTTTTGGTTAAAAATTGAATAAAAATTAATGTATTTTATTTATCTGGAACTTAATATAGTTAAATCTATCAAATTACAAAACATATATTGTGCATAATATATTTTATATTTACATGATCAAAGATGGTAAAGTAAAAAGTAGGTTATTAAAAAAATGCAAACGCTCTTTATTACATTATAAATGAATAATTATAATAATTTAGAAGACTCACTTTAAAATATTGCGGTTCATTTGATCCATAATAAGGTGCTATTCTAAACGACCAAGGTTCTGATAGATTAGGCGTTAACATATCGAGTAATACTGAAAATGGCATGTTCTTATGATCTTTATTGAATAGTAGCCATGATATCTGAATTGGAATATCACATTTATTTCTAATTGCTAATTGAACATTAGACTCCATAGAGTATAAACTAAAACTAAAGATGTAAAATGATAATTTTAAATTTAATAAAATAAACTAACATAAATATTATTAATAAGTATCCACTAAAATAGTTCAAAATTGAGATGTCTATTGACATCGTATTGTATTGTGAAGAAAATTTGACTTTGTAGAGATAATACCCTTATGATTTTGCCTATGATTGTTATTTTAGTATATTTTATAGATAATATAATTATACATATGAAATGGCAATTTCAGAAGCTATTTTGTTTTAATAGATAAATCAACTTTATTTGTAATACAAAACCTTTAAGAGCTATAATATTTTAAAATTAAATAAATACTCTTTTTTGAGTGTAGTGATATATGTTATAGTTATGTTAGAACTTAATCAGTCTCTTATCGATCACGTACTTAACATTGCCGGTGGGTCCGGGTGGCGTGGCCAGTGGAAACTCAATTGGGTACGTGACTACTAGGATAAAGATGGGAATACATACAGCCGGCAGCACATCATCATCTAAATGAAGCTCGATCAACACCTCATCCTCATACTGACCCCAAACTGTAGCCAACGTGCACACTGATATTGTTAGTTCTTTTTTGCTTGGTAAATCACTATGGCTAATATCAATCCATACAGCACAGTAACTATTCGATGTCTTCAAAAATTCTATTAATTTAAAGAGATTTTTTACTAATATTTATCAATAATAATGCAGTGAAAATTCTTAATCTAACATAACATAAAATACTCAATTTTAAGGGATACATTTTATGATGTTAATACCTAACAATGTTTTTTATTTTTATTTAACTTATACCTCAAAGTTTTATATACCTTAAAAGAGCTATTTAATGTATTAATAGTAAATTAATATGATAAATATTATTTTGTACATTTTTAAAAAGTACTTAGGAGTTCTGAAATTTAAAGTTTATGTTTAAAGCCGTTTCATTCATAATATGTGTTGAGCAATAATTACATTTTGATGCTGTATTAGTTTATGATGTTATAGTGACAACGATACAAAATAATTTAATACAACATTAATAAATTTCAATTCTGATATTTTAAATTATTCAAATAACTATAGAACTAACTATTCGTGTGGCTTTCTACAGTTACAATATATTAACACTACTCACTATTGTGGCTTTTTAGTATTGTTTTCAGTATTATACTAAAACATGAAACTTTTTTTTGTGAATTATTTTTGGTTTACTTGGGTTTTATCAATATGGTTTCACCCTTGTCTTATACTGAACACATATCTTATGTAATTCTGACGTGTATATAGAAATTGATTGATCGGTATATTTAATAAAATGACAGCCCATTTACAAGAAGGTTTAGTTTATAATAGTATATTACACTGTACTGTGTATACGTGAAATACGGACTAACAATTTTTGTTCAATTTTAGGATTTACATGCATAAGATTAAATTTTATTCACAATCTTTAATGTGATTTTGATGTGTTTATTAACTTGAACTTTTTTGTAAATTATTTTAATCATATATTAATCAAATAATTTTACTTTTAGATTATTTTACCTGAAATTGTAAGATAAAATAATTTTAAGTTTCCAAACCAATACCTTTTAATACCATTATATTAAGTAATAATTTTGTTTTGCGATATGATAGTTGATTTATTGGTAGAGCAATAAATATTAAAGTACCTGCTTTTATTGTACTATTGTCATGCAGTCTTACATTTTTGTTGGGAGTTGTTGGTTCGCGCAGTTAAATTTATTATAAATACAGAACATTATGAAATTATCGTGTAGGAAAAACACAACATAATTCCTTTTGCACCGTAAATATCTTACTAGATAAACTCCTTTCCGTAAACAATCAATAATTTAATTGATTGAGTATTTAACAGTTGTATGTCAACTTTTAGGTTCGATGCGAAGCTGAGAAGGTATTGGTTTTACTAAGATGTGTTTTTTTTTTTTTTTTTTTTCTCTTACCACTTTTTCTCAGCTCTCAGCTCTCACCGAACCGATTTCTTTCAATGATACATCAAAAGATCACAAATCGTATCTAGTCGAAGACATTACCCTCAAAAATTGAAAAAAATTCCCTCGTTCCCCGTAAATGGGGAAAACCTCCAAAAAAATTACAAATTTAAAAATCGCTAATTTTTGAAATTTTCAAAATTTTGTTTTACTTAAAATTGCCATAACTTTTTAGAAATAACCAAATCAATATAATTTTTTTTTTTATAGATGCATGATATCATTACCTTTCATTTGGTATATTTTTTTTTTTGACACTCTATCTGCCCAAAAGGGGGATTGAAAAGGACAACTTTTTCACAGAAAATTAATTTTTTCAACTTGACTTTTAAAAATGTTCTGGAAAGTCTGACACTTTTATATACAGGGTGATTTTTTTATCATAACCCACTCAATTACTTGCAAAATAATAATAATTTAAACATTTTTTTTTTCATTATCTTTAGATACACATTATTCTTGAAATTTAACTATGTAATACTTTTTAAGTGCATCCCTTATGCCTTGGAAGAGGGTCAACTTTGTTTTTTTAAATGGTAACACATATTTTTATTTTAATAAAATGTTTGAGCTTTTAATTTAATAGTAAATGGCATTTGAATTTTTAATATAACTTAATTCGTTTATTAGATATAATCATTTAAAGTTTCAAATTTTTGAGTTAATATACAGGTATAATACACAAGGGATTACAAATATAGGTAGCTAATTGGTTTTAAAGAATAAACACATTAAAGAATAATGTGTAACTAAAGATAATAAATAAAAAAAATGTTTAAATTATTATTATTTTGCAAGTAATTGAGTGGGTTATGATAAAAAAATCACCCTGTATATCTTAAACTAAAGCTAATGTAATATACTTTATTATGGAAAAAAAAAATTTCGGACTTTATTTTATCTTCATGGTGAAAACAGACATCAAAGTTAATAAAAAAAACCCAGCACAGGGGGGTCGCGGCACAGTGGTGACGTGGTATAGATGGATCAAGTATAATGATATCTGACAGTGATTAAAATCACTATAAAAAAAAAACGCTTCGATGCAAATCTTTAGATGCTGTTTAATTTAAAAAAATTGGTGGACTATTCCAAAAGCTACATTATCTGCTAGTTCATTATTAATATCCTAATTAAGATAAAGTATGTAGAATGAAAAAGGGATTATTAAAAAATATTATTTCTCATAAAAAAATAATGTTGATCCATACACTTTTCAATATGTCATAGCATTATAAAGTTAAAAATGTAAAAAATAAAATCGAGAATTTTCACACAATAATGGCATTCGGTAGCCATTTTCACCGTGAAGATAAAATAAAGTCCGAAATTTTTTTTTCGCATAATAAAGAACATTGCATTAGCTTTAATTTAAGATATATATAAAAGTGTCAGACTTTCCGGAACACTTTCAAAATTTAAGTTGAAAAAGTAAATTTTTCTACATGCATTTTTTAGATTTGAACCCCCCTCGTATATNAAATTTTTTGTGAAAAAGTGGTCATTTTAAATCCCCCCCTGTGGGCAGGTAAAGGGTCAGATATAAAAATAATATATACCAAATGATAGGTAAAGACATCATGCATCTACAAAAAAAAATTTATATTGATCCATAAATCATTATCTACTCACCTCCAGTTATTACTTTAAATTATTAATAACTTCTGAAATACTGGTTATCGACCAGTATTTTTTCAATTAAATTATTTCCTATTTTAAGAGCTAATTAAATATGTATGTTGCCATTTTAAAAAATTTAGTTAATATACCTTTTTTTAGAAGAAAATAATTTTTGAGATATAAATATATACAATTCAGCCACAATTATAAGAGTTCATGAGTTCAAGTATAAAAACTATAAATTTAAACAGTTATATGATATCAGCTTATTTACCTTGAACTTTTAAATTTTCTAAGCTTTTTGTGGATTTAGTGTTGTTTAAAGCTTCAAGGCTAAAGTTTTTTACAGATGTATAAACTTGACAAAAAATATCTGTAGTGTTGCATATTTTTAATTGTTGTTTGTTTACTGAAAAGTTAACCGAAAATATTCTTTGATTTATAAATCTGTGTATTTAAACGAACAAATTAAATGAAATAATTTTCTTGAAAATAGTATATTATTTTTTATTTATGGTTAAAACTTTCATTATTTTTCTAATTTTGAGTTTATTTTGACGTTTCATCAATTTTTTCTTACCAACGTTACATTGCACATCTTTGAATGCTATTGGATATTTCATTAATTGTTGATGTTTACCAATTGATGATGTCTTTGTAGCTATTGACGCCATTGAAGCGTCATGTCCTGGCAATTTGTGAGTGCACCATTTGACTAGTCCTGGAGCTTCCGGCCTGTGTCATTTCCGGTCAATTTATATTATACGTTCAATTTATACCTAATTTAAAGAACATCTTGCCTTAAAAATTCAAAGTACAGCTAAAATGAATTACTAACGATATTTTAATCCCAAAATAAGATGGCTAAAACAACTAGGAAAAGGCATGATATTCTTTAGTGAATTAAATTTTAAGTAAAGCTTCAAATTATTTATGATTAATTACTCTAATTCTGCTTCAAAGGAATTTTCCGATTCATAAACCATCGTATTATTTGACATCATGACATAGTTTTCGGTAATACACTCTGCTTCATTTTCTAACTCATCAATATTATCAATAGTTTTATTAGTTTTCCATTCCTTTTCCCTATATTTAAAAATATTAAACATTGATTAAAATTTTTTTAGCTATTTCATTCAAATTAGTAGATTTGCAAAATAAAATATTTTTACTAAAATAATAAGTATGCAATGTTGAGGACTATTATATCTTAACTTTAATATTTAATTATCTAGTTATAAATTTAATTCAAATAAATGTTCAATTTCAATAATACTAAATATTAATTTTTTTTTTTTAACTAATTATTTAACAATTTTTGCAATATATATATATATTTTTAACTAAGTTATTATATATTTTCTTACTGATCACACCAATGTATTATTCTTTGTATTCCAATTATATCGATGTATGATATTTTAGCGCTAAAATCTTTTACCCAAAACTCAATCATTAACTTTTCAGGTTCAATCGCATTTTGTATAAAACAAGGAATTGTAAAAGAATTATATGACTTCTGTTAAATTAGAAAAAGTTAAAATAAAATAAAAACACAATTTGCAAGGAAATTAGACATTAAAGAGATATAAAAATCAGCTAAATAATTTACATTGAATGTAATGGATATTTATTATTCGTGATTTTTTGTACATTGACTTTTAACGTTTGTTTCAAAAATTATAACATTTTATTATTTAATTTTACTTACATTTGTTTTGGGAGTTATGATAAGTTCAAACTCGATGCATGTATGACTTTGTATAACTCCATTAGTAGGTTCAGGAGTGCAAAGTACAAGATTAGCATGGGGCCCCAAAGGAGTACCCCAACAGTACATTTGACCACTATGTGAATAATTAAATAATGAGATTCCTTTGAGATGATAGCCAATACCTTTGTATAGTGGTTGGTCAATTGACACGATTTGCTTATTTAAGCGCACATTTGGTGCAATAACTAACGCTATAGTTTGGTTGTAGACAGTTTTACATCCTCCCAGCGTCCATTCAGTTAATTCACATGAAATCCCACTTGCCTAAAATGTTGATGGTTTTAATAATACTATTGAAAATACGATCAAAGTAGTGGCACAAACTACATTCTATTCTTTGAGTTGAATAATTTAGTTAATTCAAAACTTCTTAATGGTTAAAATATTATTGTTTTAGCATATATCAAAGTTCTCTTTTTCAAGGTAATATTTTTATAAAATAATTGAAACTAAATTATATTAGATTTCAGAGGTTCAAGTTAATAAAAAAAAATTATAAACTAATATCAAATAAATATTTATGATTACATACGTCTGTATTAACGGAAGTTTCATAGTTCTCTTTCATTACGATAATTGATTCAAGGTTCGAAACTTTTGGGTTCAACTCAAAAAAATAACTCTTATGCGAGACTAAATGTAATTCTCTGTCATTATTTTCAAAATAATAAACGTTTAAATTTATTGAACGATCATCGTGCATCCAGGATTTTAAATTTATATTGTGAGTCACCAATGTCCCAATGCTTTGATTTTCCAATAATAGTAGAGAAGTAGGTTCTATGATTACTCCCGGTGGTTCAATGTAACCTCGAACATATACTTCTATATTATCTACGCTGTCACGGTTAGTCATATTGAATTTAAGCACATTTCGTACGTGTCCTGTTCTCTTGGGATCAATTCGTATATCAAATTTAGCTTGTTGGTAAACGACTAAAAATTCAGGAACTACTTCAAAATTTATTGTCGAATCACAGTAGCTATTGCCTTGATTATTTTTTTCCTCATAGCGTAACCATGAAACATTGACTGGTGATGTTCCTTTGTTTTTAAAAATGATGGTTTCTTTCACGCATATACCCTCACTGTGTAAAATACAAATGTTCAAAAGGTTTTTATAGGCTTAAATCTATAATATGGAAAGAAAATAATACTAATTTTAAGTAAAAAATTATTTGACTATTTGTAATTTTATTAATAAATAATATATACTGTCGAATTGATATATTGGTATTAAAACCACTACATTTGTTTATTTATTATTTATTAAAAAATGTAAATTAATCATTTTATTTAATTTCGTAAATTTTGTTTGACAACATTTATTGAAAAAGGATTCATTATTTTAAGAGAAAAGTTTTAAGTGTTTATTTAAATATAATCATTAAATTTGAGGTCTAATAAAATATTGACTTACCCAAGTTTGTATTTATACGAATTTAAGTCGACAACTCTTGGGTATACCTCCATGCAAATAGGCTCCTTGCCTTTATATGCACATAGTACTTCAAGGTCAGCAACATTAACGTTCTCATACTAAAATCAATTACTCATAATTTAGGATATCATAAATTTTGGGAATAATTATTAGATAATATGCTAAAATATTTTAATAGCTATCATTTTTTATAAAATATCTCTCTTAAAAACTTTTACTTGTAGAAAAGAGAATAGCCAAATCTATACAGCCCAACGTAACGGAATCAAATTTTAGTACTTATGTACTGAGGCACAAATAGTGCCAAACTTAATTATTTAAGCTACATAATGGTACTTTTATGTCTTTCTAAACACAACTGAATAAAATAGAACAACTCAAATTTAATAGACTGAATAAGATTTTGATTTACAATGTGTCTCCATAAGGCGTGGTTTGGCGTTATTACTAACTTATGATCCGACAACACTCACGAACAAAGCTTATGCACTTGAATGGAATTCTACCATTTATGCCATTAATTTTAAAAGTCCCGAACATTACTGAATAATTTAATAGAAAATAATATGAGAGACAAAACATATTTTAAATATTACAAATTTTATAAATTTTGTATAATTTATTATTGTTATTCGGCGTTTTTTTATTATTATTGGAGTTATCCTCCATTCATTGTGAAATCGTATAAAATTAAGTACATTTTTTTAAATATTTAGTTTGTTACGTAAATGTGTACCGAAAATTTAAAATAAAATATTTTCTTAGTTCATAAAATAATCTATTATATTATACGGAGGTGTCAAAATCGTAATTTTACAGAATAATGAAATAGCTAATAGACTTGGAGAGACCCGACTAATTTTATCCATCACATTGGCTTTTCAAACAAATTACGATGAATTACGAAGTACAGTCCACATAATTTCAATTACGTTTGGTTCTTGTGGCTTTCTCTGTTATCCATAGTGGTTAGTTAAATTTAATTAGTTTAACTTTATTTACGCAGTTTGAATTTCATCTAATAATATTATTTGCACTGGTAAAACTAATAATGCAAATGCTACTAAAATACTATACATTATAAAATTAAATTATTTTCTCTATTATTTTAATATGTGTTATAATATATATATATATATAGATCAATAGATTTAGACATTATAAAAGATTCCTTAGGGTGAGTATACTTTTTTAAATTTATTATAAGAATCATAAATTATATTTATCCTTATTTTCTAATAAACCAGGATAAATAGTCTATATGAAATTGTAAACAAAATTAAAAAACAGCTATAAGAAAACATGAACTCTATGGACATTACTTATTTACCTTAATAAAACTTTCTCGATCTTCATTTCGCATATTGTCTTGATAAATTAGGCTGACTTGAGGAATATGCTCAATGATTAAGCTAATAAAGAACAAAATTATTATTTTGGTTCGATTATAATTCTTCAAACATTTTTCCTGGTAGTAATTATTAAGATAAAGTTAAAGTTATCCACAAAATAATTTTCCAAAATCAGTTATTAGCGTTTTTCAACAAAAAATTATCTTTTAAATGTCTAGAAGTAATTTGTTTAGATAAATAAAAATTCTGATGCAGACATTTATAGTAATAGTGGAGATTTATTTTCATTTTAAAATACATTTTTAAAAACAATTTTAAGTCAAATAACACAAATTATAAGACAGATATTGAAACCTAAATCAATTAATTAATTTACATAATAAAATAAAATGTTACCACATCTAAGCTGATGTAAATATTTATAAATTAGTTTACATATAAAATCTAAAATTTAATTAACGCAATGTAATACAAGTGTTTATTATCTCTAAGTTATTTTTTTTGTACATAAAAGTTCAACAACTTGCAAATATAAAATTAAATTATATAACATAAATTATTCATAAAAATGAACTTTATAAACTTGAATATAAAATTTAATATGGGGCAGTAAAAAAAAAGTTTAGTTATTATTCTATTTATTACACTACATATTACGTGGGATAAATAAATCTTTTGTTTTTCTATATGTTTGAAAAATATAAAACTATATATATTTTATTTTTATTATTAAAATTTATGAAATTTTTTATTATATTAAAAATACATATTACTTATCGTGCATAATAATATAATTATTATATTATTTAAAGAAAAAATTAACCAAGTTAATAATATTAAAAGTATATTATTTGTTTGATATAATAACATAGAGTATTTGTTTATTTAACCATTATATTATATTTTCTTATGAGTCGATCTGACCAAGTGAGTAGAAACGTATGTTACAATGCATGGAGTCTCAGGTTCGATCCCCAGGGTTCCAACGAGATATTTATTGTGATTTTTTCATTGATGGTGTATGGTCTCTGGTGCAATTCGTTCATAATACACGTCCCACGTCTCATTGGTTTAGCCAAAAACAATTTATGACTCCCTAACACGTGAAGTAGGGTCACCACCCACTGTAGCATATTATGTTTGAGAAATTAAAGAATGTAAAACGGAAAAAAAATTGTAATTTGTTGGAAATGATTATTTTTATTAATATATTATTTTTTTTACTATTTATACATTTTAATAACACTATTTTTTTATATCAAAGAGCTCGACGTGATTAAATGTTTAGTTTTATTGAATAAATTGACTACTAAAAATGATAGCACAATGATGTCATGATACATTGTGGACTTGGAATAATTGGGATATGCTTTGATACAAATCTGTAAATAGTGTTTAATTTTAAAAAGGTGATGTATTATTCAAAATGAACCCTTATTTTCTTATTTATAACCTTATTACAAGTTTTATGATGTATGAGTGTAAAATATGAATAAATTTCTTATAAACTTTAAATATAGTATGAAATGTATATTTAATAATTTAAAATTGTAATTTTTACGGAGAAATTATATTAATAATGTAGTTGTATATATCGTTATTTCTATGGAAAATATCTATAAAAATTGAAGCGCTTGATGAAAACTCTTCTACAAATAATTTAGTTTAAATTGGTCTACAAGGAATTTTCATCAGTGACACAAATGTATTTTTGATAAACCAATTTTTTCGCAAATTTCAAATCTGCAATTTGATTTTTCGTATCACCTCTAATTTTGAGATTATTACTTATAAGTAAAAAACGAATATTAACATATAAGAAAAAAATTTAGGATAAAATGAAATTTATCAACATATCAGTGATCAAAATCATAAATGAAACTAGACTCGGAATATTTCTGATTATTAGTTTATTATACGAGGCGTGTTCAGAAAATAACACAAATTTGGATAATCTGATTATCAAATTTTTTATCATGTTGGTACACATGTCTCTGAAGTATGATACAATTTTCAGCTAGATTCATTTTTTACTTTGTCAGTGGCAGCTGCTAAGATTAGACGTGTTTATATGATCTCGTCGATTTTCGTTAATTAAAAAAAATTTTGCGTAAAAATGAAATAAAGTGTATGATATGATAACAAAAGCCTATGGTAAGTCTGCCATGAGTAAAACAAAGGTTTACGTATGGTATAAGCGTTTCCAAGATGGGCTTGAAGACGTTGAAGATGACGAACCCCTCAGATGCCTCAAGACATCAACAACTGATGAAAACGTGGATAAAGTGAAAGAAATGATTATGAACGATCGCCGAATTACAGTAAGAGAATTCACTGATGATTTTGGAATACCAATTGGCTCATGTCATAAAATTTTTTCAAATATTTTGCGTATAAAACGCGTAGCAGCAAAATTTGTTTCAAAATTGTTAAATTTTGATCAGAAAATGCGGCTAATGGAAGTTGCTCAGGAGTCACTTAATGATGTCAATGACGATTCAGAATTACTGAAACGTGTTAAAATAGGTGACAAAACATGGATTTATGGATACGAAGTTGAAACTAAGGCTCAATCGTCCCAGTGGAAGCATTCTGAATCGCAAAGACCGAAAAAGGCTCGACAAGTGTGATCGAACGTGGAGGTTATGTTCACCGTGTTCTTTGACTTTAATGGCATAGTGCATTATGAATTCTTGTCACGAGGTCAAACGGTCAATAAGGAGTACTACTTATAAGTTCAACGCCGTTTGCGTAAAGCAATCCAAAAAAATACCCGGCTTTGTGACAAAATAATTCATGGCTTTTGCACCACGATAATGCACCTGGTCACACTTCATCGCTTGTTTGTGAATTTTTGGCCAAAAAAAACACTGTAACGATGCCACAAACTTCATTTTCTACAGATATGGCTGCATATGACTTTTTCTATTTCAAAAAATAAAGAAAACCTTAAAGGACTGTGGTTTTATAAGCTGAGATGACATTATAAGCACATCGCTGATTGAGCTGAAGGCTATCCCAAAAATTGAGTTTGGGAAGTGTTTCCAGGATTGAGAAAAGCGTCGGCACAAGTTCAAAATATCTAATGGGGACTTTTTTTAAAGCGATAATATTAATGTAAACGAATAAACAAATATTTTTTTCAAAAAACGAAAATTCCCCTTATTTTCTGAACACACTTCGTAGAGTATAATTAGGGTATAAAACTATATCCTAGTTATTTATAGTTCTTTTATAGTTCTAAAATATTTCAATTAAAGAATCTATAAACCACTAAGAGATTCATATAAATTATTATTATGATTTCTATTGAAATTTTTTAATTCGATATTTATACAAAAAAATTATGACAATGTAAGTAAAAATAACAACTTGAAGGACCGTTTCATATAAAATACAAATCTTCGGGACAGTTTAATTTTTTTAACATTTAGTACTTAAAATAAGATTGATTATAATATATATTTAAAACTTGGGTATTTCCAGAACGTTTTCAAAGTTTAAGTTGAAAAAATTTAATTTTTGTGTAAAAATTGCAATTATTAGTTTTCTTATAGGTTAAGTTTTCAAAAAATGTACACTAAATGAAATAGATATATCTAAGATAATATATAATAAAATTATTTTTTTTCATTAATTTTTAAAAATGTTATGACAGCAGAAAAAAAAATAAAAATGTATTGATTAAAAAAATAAAAATTTTTTAGAATTTCCCCCATTTATTGAGAACAAAAGAATTATTTAAAATTTTCGAAGGCAATGGCTTCAACTGAATAAGATACGATTTGTAATTTTTTGATCTCCTATTGAAAAAAATCGGTCTAATGAGAGCTGAGAAAAAATGGTGACAGACATAAAAAAAAAATACACATCACAGTAAAATTAATATTTTCTTAGTTCGCATTCAATCTAAAATATATTAACTATATATCTTTAACAACTCAATAGCTATCAATCATAAATTTTTTATTATTTAAAAATGATTTATAGGAGTTTCTCAGAAGTTTGAATATAACTAAAACATTTACATTACCTTTATTTATGACATATATTAAATATAATATGTACCTAAAGGAAATTAGCATAAAAATATAATCTAAAATTCCTCATTAAAGTGATAGGGATAACAACTTGAAGGACCGTTTCATATACCATTTTATTTTATTTTTATATTTGTAAATTAACATTAGTGTCATTAGCTGTAATCTAATTTATTTGCTAAAAGTTTATTTTTATTGCAAATATAAACTCTCTGTAACAGAGCGTTTTATTTAAATTTCACCAACTAAATTAATATAGAGTGAATATTGAAGAACCAATGTATGATGTTTGGATATTTATGAAATATCATATTTTATATTCAATTGTCATTAGTTCATTTCATTTATTTCTATGGGAATTTAACATAATGTAGTATGAATAGTAAATCGTAACAGTTATATTTATAATATCTCATGACAAAATAATACGATATTATTAAAAAATAAGCTTTAAAAATGATTTGCAGGTTTCAAATTGAGCAAAATATATTTTAAACAATTTATGTATAAAGTATGTATAAACCGTAAATAATAAATTGTTTCGAATGAAAAACTTTATAAATAATAAATCCAATATAACTATTAGTTAATTATACTAAAAAAAATACGAGACTTATGACTTTTATGTCTAAAAATATATACATACGAAAGGATCACGTGATATTTGCCGACAAGTTGTTGATTAACAATCTCACTGGTGACAGAACATGTAATCGTGAACTTGATTTCAGAAAAACAGTCCAATGTACCAGTTGACGGATTGACATTGAATTCCACTTTGGCGTTTTTTGACCACGGTCTATCAACCACGTGATTGATGACCCATCGATAAGGATATTTGATTCCACTTAAAAAGTATGAAAAATCGTACATAAAGATTTATTATGTTTATACGGCGATTCGATGTAAACAATTGATATCTCAAATGTTTATAAAAGAAACTTTAAGATTAATATTTATAGATCACTATTACATATAACCATTATTTTTTAATTAAATTTCTATGAAAATTAGCAAAATATTAGTTATTTGTATCAAAGAAAATGATAATTTTTTATAAATTCATGAATAATTTAATAATACGAGATATTTTATGTTTTGGAAAACTGTCGGATAAGAATAGTGAATATTTTATTAAAAATTCTTGTTTTCACAACAAGATAATTTATCATTTCGAAAGAAATTTAGTTTTGTATGGTAATTATATTAAAATATTATCTGGTCTGAAATCTCACAAAATCATTGAATTGATTTCTTATTAACTTATAAAAATTATGAGATATCCTTATAATTTTTTAGTAACTACAATTAAATTAACATGCAAAATGAAATTATTTGAATACTACTTATAGTATTAATGTTGTTATGTTACGTATTAAATAAGGTATACATTCTTTAGTGAATAAACAATTAATGATTTGTTTTTTATATTATTGTAATATCGAAAGAAAAAATAATTAAACAGAACAAATTTTTACTGATTTGAACTTAGTAATGTAACTATGTCTTATTACAAAGATTATACTTTTGGGATATTTAGTGGTTTATCCTCTAAAACTAATAATATTTCTATGCTATAATATAATATACTATGACAAACTTATAAGTAAACTTGATACTCTTCAAAATGATTGAAACAAAATTTATAAATGCATATAATTCTTTACCCTATTAATAACATTTGTATCCCCGAAACAGATTTTTTAAGTCAGCCTTACTATATGAAAATGAAAACATTAAAAATTCTTTGAATATTTAGCATTTCACTTTACATTTAATGTAATATGATGAGTATGTATATGTTGTACGTAGTCAGCGAAAAAAAGAAATAAGCTCTATAAATTTATTTGAAATATTTTGTTTCTCTCAGTATTAAAGAATTTAATTTTTGCTATAGGTAATTAGTTAATATATAAAACATGACTATATCTCTATTAATTTTCATAATAATTAATAATTACTTAACTATTTATTAAATAAAGAACAGTTAAACAATTTTTTTTTATTAATATATACACAATCTATACACAAACGGCACAATAAGAGTATTAGCTAAGATAAACAAGAATGAAATATTGAATGAAGAAGCCACCCACCCAATTTTAAAATCTAAAATATAATAATAATTGATTTATGGAAACAATATTTTTTATAAAGCATCCTCTTATTGCTTTTACTTGAAATATTTACCAAGAAAAAAAATTTGCTATTCGTAAATAAAATATAAGTATTATATTTTAATATTTTTAAAAGTAAAAATGTATTAACTTTAATTGTTAATACATTTTTGTCAAGTATTTAAAGAGAATTTTATTATTATTTTAATACCTTTATTACTTCTAAATTTTTTCTTGTCATTTAAAAAGTTACTTATGATTTTAATTTATCATTAAAGTTTAAGTAAATCAAAATATTATTTGAATATTCTGTAGCGACCAAAACATACGCAACGAATATTCTCGAATGTTCTCGTTATCAAAAACCTTCGAGAAACTTCGATAACGCCATAAGATAACCTACGCGGGTATAGAATATTCTAGAATTAGCGAGAGCCTTATCGGAGCTATATATATATCGGAAGAATCAGTCAGTTAGTTAGTTCAGTTCAGACTGTCTAGTCCGCGATACGCTACACGACCGCTACACTCCGCCGCTGTTGTCATCGTGTATTACGTTTACTTCGATTATTTTATTTTTCCTTACTGTATATACATATATTTTCTTTTAGTGTTTATACGTCTATTTTCGTGTTATAATTTTGTTTAATAAAAGTCTACCGCCATTTAAATAATTGTGTGTTGTAAGATATAACCCACAATTCTATTTGTATTATTAAAGCTTTAATAGGTCATTTTACTTAAAAAAATGTATGGGTGAAAAATTTGTTGGGAGATTTTAATAACTTAGTTTATCAAACTTTTGTTACAGTAAACGTTTGTATTAACAAAATTTGTGTATCTTGATTTTAAGATTTTAAATTTAAAAAAATTAAATTAAATTTTTTAAATAGAAAAATTTGATTCGTTTTTCCATGGTTAATTCAAATTTAGTATTTATAATTTAAAGGAGCTAGATTAAATTCATCCTATATCGCGATTTCAATCCCTTCCGAATATACTATACAATCTAATAATATCCTTAATCGTATGTCACCCGTTTTACCCTTGTCCGGAATGGAACTTTATCACGTTTACCCCATCTGTTTTCTTAGAGTGCACATGTACACAAACCCTGCAGGGAACGTGAGATGACTATAACTACTGTTGTCGTCGTCGTTGTAATATTATCATTTTAGCACTATCCAACTCTTTAATATATCGTCCTTTCGTACATACCTCGTATTTCTAATGTACAAACATCGTGTGGTTTCACCAATTTCGCCAATGTCCAGAATATATCGCCCAATCCCTTTCACCATATTATTCACAGTTATATTCTCGAGTCCTAGTCCCTGTAAAAGTTTAAGACATCTAATGAAAGTTTCTGAGACCGCTAAGTTCTCCTAAGAATTTTAGATTGGTTTTAGATAAAACAATAGGGCGCAATGGTTTACCGTTAGCAGGATACAATTTTTATCAAATAGTTGACCATCACCAAAAACATTAATTTCTTGTGCGCATGAGTTGTCAGCCACGATTATAAATTTCACACACTATAATTAAATTATTCAAATTATAATTACCTTAATACAGTATACAGATATTAAAAAAAATTTATGTGCATAATTGATAGGGAGGTATAAAAAGGTAGTAGTCAATGTTTTCCATTTTGATTTTATAATTTGATCCGACAGCTCAATATCAATAGTATCAAATAATAATAACAATTTTTTAATAAAAAAAAATTTAATTTTTCTAGAATTAAAGCGTCTATTTTTTTTTTATTGTTGAAAGAATATGAATTTATAATTTTATTATAAAAAAAAAACATTAAATGTTAAGGTCAAATTTTACAATATATATTTTATTTATAATAATTCAGTTTTAAACTAAACAATTTACAGTAGTATTTTACCAATAATTATAATTACTAATAGGAAAATAAAATAAAACGGACAAAATTATTTTTTTAATATAGTTTCACTTAACAATAATAAATCGCTTTAGAGAACACATTTATATAATAAACTTACATGAAATGATGGTGAACTGGGCTGAAATGTAACTTTTAATAATTTAGTCTCTTTTTGTTTAATACTAAATACAGATGGTTCAATTGAAAAATTTTTTAATTTCATACAATTATCTTTAGGTTTTGGCACCTAAAAATTAAAATAGAAATAACGTAGATAATATAGAGTAGACCTTATTCGTATATCTATTATAGGGTAAAACTCTTAAGGGTAAGCAGTAAGCAGACATATATGAATACATTGTATAATGCTATACTAATGTTTTACTGTTTTTAAAGATAATATTATTGTTACTAGACTTAAACCCAACTTGTCAATATTTCAAGTTTCACACTTTAATCATAAATATTTGGTATATTAAGTCAATTATTTTTTTTTTATTTAATTAAATTTTTCCATATTCAAATATTTTACTTATCATAGCTGCTATATATTTTTTTGATAATAATTTAACTTACTTCTAATGCATTTGAGTACCAAAATTCTTCAGAAATACAAACAAAACTGGATGTACGTCCAAGATTACAAACAGATATTTCTATTGTTTTTGAGGCACCCACTAGACATGAATTACACTCAAATACACAAATATTAGTCAAATTTTTAACGATAGATGAACTTTTTTTTCTTAAAATTATGGAGTCAAAACTATTTATGACATCTAAAAAACAATTAAAGATGATTATATAGGTGTTCAGTAAGTAAGAAAACGGTTTTCTATTGTTGTCATTGTTTGTAACAATTGACCTGTTTCCTTGCTTACTGAACACTCTGTATATTTCATTTTGAAATACAAAATTGAATAAAACATATATTGATATTTTAACTAATTCTAATCTGTTTTAAACATGATGCATATAGAATAAGATACACGCTTAATTTTATCTATACTATAAAATATTATTCAACTGTATTTCGTGTATGAAAAATATGTGTGTTAATTATTATGATAGAACAGTTTTGTATGGTGCTAATAATAATAGATAAAGTGTATATGGCGCATTAATGGCAATTGTTCCATTGCATAAAAAAATGTCTACGAATTATTTAATTTTTTTTAATAAAAAAATGAAAGTCATGTTACTTACACCTAAGAATAGGCATTTGATTTTCAGCTCCTATTAATAAATGGGTTAGATAATTTCCATCTTCTACGATTGTTAATAATTGAAATACATCTTCCATAGAACTACAGTGAAATATAACTGTCAATTTAGTATGCATGCCAGGTGCAAGTTGTCCTTTAGGTGAATAATCAAAATTAAACACATCATTTGAATTATTATCACTGGATATAATTTTAAACGAAACGATTCGATGTCCAGTGTTACGAATTGTAATCGATCTCTTAAATAAATCAACAAAAATGTTTTTTTCAATACAAAAAAATTGATCTACTACTCAAATCAATTTCTCATAAAAATTAGGAGATCAAATAAATGAAAACCAGTACAGTGGAGATATGGTAAAGTTGGGGCGTAATATATCATCTAAACGATGATACTGACTGTGATTAACTCAAAAATTATAAAAAACACTTCGATGCTAATCTATTAAATTTCATAATTTGTATATTTGTAATATAAAAATGTCTATAATTTAAAATTAAATATTGTTGATTAAATTATTTGCTTAACTAAAAATAACATTATTTTTTTGCTTTGACAATCAAATTCACATATTAGAACACAATCGTCAGGACAAATTTAAATTTTAAAAGCTCATTAAATTATTTGTAATATTACACATGCATGGTAAATTTCTGTAATTTTATAATCTATATTTTCTTTCTAAATATCAATTGCTATCCTATAGTAACATGAAGTACATAAATCCCATTTCTTACTGTTATTTTTTTTTTCATCCTTTTGACAATATATATACCTTTATTTTTTTAATTGCAATTTTTTTTCTTACGGAAGAACAACCGTCGGACAAAATTTTTTTTTTCGTATATTGTAGTGCACTTCAAAAACTTTAATTTGGTATGGGTTAGAAGTTATCAAACCTTCCAGAACATTAAAAAATTTTTACATGTTTGGGTAGTCTTTTTTAAAGTCAATTAAAAAAAAAAAAAATATAGCAGTTTTAGAAGAAGAAAATATTTTCAAGAAATTCTATTTCAGATTATTGATTTTATTGGCTATAAAAACAAAATCCAAGAACATTCAATTCCTATCTACAATTTTTTTTTTTTGAGTCGAATAAGTAAATTGCTAGCAATCTTCTTTTGATTTTATACTTAAAAACTAACCATAGTGATATATTTAACAATGATTTTTCATGAAAAAGTTTAAGAACAGAGTTCTATACTTAAATATAACTTATGTGACATATTTTGTCATTAATTATATCGATAAGTAGGAATAAAATATACAAAAATAAAAATTAATGATATTAATTAATAATATTCATATATTTTTTTTAATTTTTATATTATATTCTTAATTTTAGTAATATTTTATCGGTCGGGGATTAAGTATTAAATATGTTTTAGAGTTTAAAATGTATAATGGTTCTATTTAAAAGATATCCAGAATCAAAAAACATTATAGAGGAAAATTTCAAGTTTATTAAATGATACAATAATTGTATCGTTAAAAACAAGAATAATAATTATAATTATAATATAATAATAATTATGATTTTTTATTTTTGTTTTTAACATTAAGTGCTATCTAAATTGATACTTCTATGAACCTGTCTTAAAACTACCATTATTTTAATACTTTTAAATAAAATAGTGAATGTTCGGTAACATAATATCAAAAATTAATAGTTGTGACAATTCTAAAAGTAATAAAAAATTAGCGTAATTAACCAATAAAAGTAAAATTCTTACTAACTTTGTATATTCTACCAGGCACGAAGTTATTAAAACGAATAATGCTGAAATCTGTGTGAAGAGAAGGCTTAATGTTTTCTACAGTTTGTAAGAGTGCCTTTGAGGCAACGACAGGTAAACAGGACTTACAAGGAGATTTAAATCTAAATCAAAAAACGTTAATCACCCCGACGATTTAAAATCCATTTAAAAACTTACTTTGGCTTTTTCTTATTCAAACGGAGTCTCAAACGTTTCATTTCCTCGTGTATACCGTAAACCTTTTTATTTTCAATATCTACAATATTATACAATTCAATAATGTAGCACTTTGATAAAATAATATAACAATTATTTTTACAGTGGGTAACTGTTATTAACTTTCTTACTTCGTTTCGATTCAGCTATATTACTAAAATTATTATTATTTAATGCCTCCAGGCGTAGCAAAGTATATTTATCCACATAGTTGGAGTTTAAACTATGGAATTTGTCGATTGAATTTTTTTTAAGCTTTTTTTCTACTTTCATAACATTCTCTTCAGCACATCGTATATCGCTAATACGTTTCAAATGATTATAGTACTCCTTAAAGCAATATGATATATTAATCCTTTTATAATTTAGTTTTTTAAAATAATTAATATTTTTTATTTACATAAATTGAATACTTTTGTGTTGATATAATAAATTATATATTATATAAAATTGAAAAATATTTGATAACAGTTTTTGTACATTAAAATTATTGACTGAACAATAATAATACATATAGAAGTGATAAATGTCTTATAATAAAGACAAAAGATAATATTATGGAAAAATATTTTTTAAATATAAATTTTTCATTTTAACCATAATAATAAACGTGCAAAATATTTATCTTATCAATTAATTGAAATAACAATGTTTACTTGGCCATCGAAAAGTTTTCTTTGATTTCCAGTAAATGTTTTCTGGAGGTATTCAAAAAAAACATTGTTTATTAAATCAATTGCATCATGTACTATTGGTTTCTCAATGATTTCAGGAATTCCAATTTTAAGAATTTTATTATCATCTTTACATACATAATATTTTTGGGTAAATATATAATAATAACAATTTAGAATTTTAAGGAATTATAAAATAATTGTATAAATAATGAAAATCTAGTTCTAAATTCATAAATTTACTTACTTAGTTCTCTATCAAAGAGTTTAATTTCATTTTTACCATTTGTTTGATTGTTTAAGTCGTTAATTAAATCTTTTGCTAAAGCTAAACGAGATAAAAATTTAGTGGAAATAACTATCTTTATTTAAATGTTTAGAAATTTGTACCTTCTACATTTTTTGTGTGTTTTTTTAATGCGAGTAAGTGAGCTTTACCATTATCACAACTTTTTATAGTATTACGAGCCTAAAGGCAAAAAATTAAAAATCGTTTTATGAAAAATTGACATTAATAACTTATTAAGTGACTTCTGAAATATTAAAAATTGTTTTCTTTTTATGAGCTGATGATAGTTTATATTTTGTTTTTGTACTATCAGTTTTCTTTACACTGTTTTTAATTTTTTTATTAGCTCTGTCTTTTAAATCACTAGAATCACTAACAAAGTTATCGATATCTGAAAATTATTTCAAAATAAAATGTATGAATACAATAATTAACTAATTATATACCATTTGATATTAAAACAACGTTTGATTTTATTGCCATAGTAGGTTTTATTCTGAAATAATTTTTTTTTGAAATTATAGCTTCTTATGAAAAAAAAAAGATAATATTAAATATAATAAGTGTGCCATAAAATTCCTACACGCACTCCTCAATATAAATTTTAATATATTGAATTTAAAATACAATAATATAATTAATATTAATTTGAATCTACAATATTATCAACTAGCGTGTATATAAAATTATTGTTATTTGTTATTTTAAAAATGAAAAAATCTTGAAAAATTTGTTAGCACAATATTTATACAGTATTAAAACAAATAAATATATAGCGAATAGTAACTATAACAATAAATTTAAATTCTTATTATTTTAAATTAGCTATTGACAGTACACATTTCTATTCTACTCTATTTTAAAAGTTTCTCAATTGTACTATTCATGACTATAAATAACTATTTACTGAAACTGTAAGCTGTGGCTTACAATTGATAATAAAAATAAAACAATATATTGAAGTTTTTCTTTTCGACCTTTTTAACTTTTGAATTTATCTGTCAAAGTATGAAATGAATTTTTCTTGTTTATGGAATAAAGTATTATAGCTCTCTTATCCAAGATAAGGGAATTTTATGAAGTATTATAAATTAAATTTATATTGTTAGTTTCTAAAAATCATAATTATGATACATAACAAATTAGTTAATATTTTAAATTATCTTCAGTATTTGAATTATTGATGTAATTGAATGTTTTGTTTTTTTTTTTTTGTCATTGTTATTTGAGCTATTTTATAATCTTTTAAAAATACTTAGTATTGATTTAATGCCAATTGAGACTTGATACATAATACAATATTATTGATGTATTGATATTACAATATAAGTAAAATACAATTGAATAAAAAAGAATATATAAGTTATAGATTATAAATTTCACATCAAAATGCGTTTCAAAAATTCGTTATAATGTACGTGCACAGCAGCAAACATTCGGTGGCGTAGGTTAAACATGGTTTTCACATTTAACTGGTGTCCTTAATAAGTTAGTACTTTTTGTTTTCATTTAAAAGCTTCGTTGAAAAAAAAACAGCAGGGAGATATATTTTAAACAGCTTAAGAAAGAATTTTGTTTAGTAATTGAAAAATATTTTCATATATTGATGTTCACATGCTAGCTACAATAATCATTATTTTAAATAACAAGACCATTCTTAATATTTTTGATTCAGCTCACTCGCCCAACTGTTTTATACCACATAATCGAGTTTATATTAATTCAATAATTTTATATTAGTGTGAAAGCAAAGTAAATGGTGGATGTTACCCAAACGATGTATTAAATAAAATGATTATAACTCAATAGGCACTTATCCTAAGTTGTTATGATTTTATTAAAATTTTTTTTTAAAAGAGCTAAAAAGTGGATATTTTGAAAAAAAAAATATTTTTTTCTAATTAAAGATAATTAATAGTAAAATAAAACTTATTGAGGTACCCCATTGTCGACAACGATACATACTTTGGATATTAGGTGAAAATGTGACGTAGTGACGGTTGAGGGTAACGTGACATTGTAATAACTTCTTTGATTATTACAGTGAATTTAATTGACAAATAATTCCATAAAAGAAACAAAAGTTTTGAGTTCATTCAGTTTTCAGTGACAGATTAATTTTTTTTTAAATGTACATACTAGGGGTCTAGTAAAGGCTTATTTATTATAAGAGTACGTGTACTTTTTCACAATTAAAAAGAAATTTTCACAATAAATGTTGTGACGTTATTTTAATATTATTTCATATCAATTATCTATTAAAATAAATCAAGTAAATAAAAATGTAGAAGTACTAAAATGATGTTGGATTGGGTTACTATGTTAATTAAAATATTATACCTTTTGAAGTATTAGTACAAAGATATTATCAGATTGATGTAAACGATAAAAATATATAGCGAGCTATAATAATTAATAAAAATTTATTGTGATTAATTTAAATGTTGCCAATGCTACTGTTATCTCATTATTAATTATTTATTAAATTATTATATAACATTTTATACAGTTATCTTATAATTTCTATTAGGTCTTATCAGTGCATTAAATTATATATATTCATAGTTCATATAAATCAATATTTACACAAAACATTTATTTCTTGTGGTGTAAAAATGACTAGGGATAATACACCCATTTTCTTAGAATTTATATTATACAAAATAATCTAAAAATTCTTATATTTCATAATTTATAATATGACATTTTTATTACACACAAGTAGTATAATTTTAACATTGAGTATCAAATATTCGTACACAAATAAAATATTTGTAATACTTTTTATAAAAAAATTCGCTTATATTAATGCTTTAAATACTTCAATATTTTATTATTAAATATTTTCAATTTATGTAAAAAAATAATGTACAAAAATAGAGAAAATACTCTACAATTATATGTAGTTAAATAATTTTTTAACTATCCCTCCATAAAACCTAAACTTTAATTTTCTTTAGTAGGAATCTCTATTGACTTCGATGAGTTACTACTCAAAATCTATCATTACTTTTTCTCAGCTCTCACCAAACCGATTACTTTCAACGATATGTCAAAAGATCACAAATAGTATCTAATCGAAAACATTACTCTCAAAAATTGAAAAATTTTCCCTCGTTCGCCGCAAATTAGGCAAATTTTTTAAAGAACTTGATTTAAAATTCTAATTCATCAATAAATTGATTTTCATAATATCAGAGGCAACAATAACCAGTATAAATAGTCCATAAATTATTATCAATATTTATTATTGCTAACTTAAGGAACAGATATAATAAAAAAATTGGCTTCAAAAACTTGTTTATGATACATTAGAAAGAAATAACGACTACTTTGTTCTTAACAGCAAATTATCAATAGAAAATTCGCTAAACTTTAACGTGTGATGACAAAATAATGCATTATCAAATCTTATTATATAATGAAACATAAGCCAATGCTGGAAAATTTACTTTTTTATTTTAATGAAAGTGCACGGTGACATTATTCTAGGATAATTACAAGTGAGATGAGAAAATTTTTTTTTACATATTGGCCTCTTCACTAAAAAAAAATTCCTGATATTCTTGACATATTTATAATCAAAATACCTAATTCGTTAAACACTAGTATATATAATCTAAATGATAATTCATCTGATCATCCAATCCACACGTCCTACCCTCATTGCGAGTAGAGTTAATTAGTTTAAGATTAATCTTGCTATAAGCAAAGAAATAACTTCTACAATTTTCTTAAAAATATTTAGATGAAGTTAATAAGGCAATCGACTCATTTACTTCTCTTATTTAACAATTTTCTATTAATGCAATAGCGTCTGCTTTGACGTCTACTAAAAAAAAAAATTATCAGCACACTTAAAACAATTACTCGAAGAAAAACGTTCGGTTAGATTTCATAGACAATACTTTGGAAACCCTAATATAAACATAATTTTCATAAAAATAAACTAAGCAAAGCTCTCTAAAGCTACAAAAATGAGAGTTATAATTTGTGTTTATCAAAATGATCAACCCAAGATTCATCCATGTGGAAAGCCATAAAAAAATTAATTCACCAAAAATACTCTCTCCTCCTTCGAAAAAAACAGACATCATGTGGGGTATTACTGATGTTGATAGAGCAAATATTTTTGCGGAACACCTCTTAAATGTTTTTGAATCACATGTCGTAACTTCTAGCAGCACTCAATAACAAATTATTGCCAAATTTCTAAATTCTCCATTACCAATTACACTACCCGTCAAGCCCATTAGTCCTAGTGAAATTCAGTATATAATACAAAATCTTCCAATCAATAAAACTGCTGAGTATGACATCACAACTAATTTTAGAGTCAATGAACATCTTCCTGACAAAGGACTTGTTTTTTTATGTTTAATTTCTAATGCTTAACTTAGACTATCTACTTTTAACTTTTTTTCCACTCTAAACTAAAATACCACGTCAACCCACTTGTAAAGCAACTTTCCTCACTAACCTTGCCTGAAAATCCTCTTAGAAGACTAAAACGTAACGTGTCCAAGAGACCTTCTGAAAACTTAATAATAATAAAAAAAAATATATGTATAATAAAAAATAATAATAATCCAATAAAATAAGATGTCAAGTGGCGGTACACTGGGTGTTTTACTTCAATACTATCACTTACGACATTGTAAATAAATTTGTCATTATAATTGCTTATTTTACAACAGATGAATAGATTGAAATTTTTTTATAAATAATAAAAAAAAACTTATTATTAAATATAGACGTAAAATTGTAAATTTTTTAGTGGTCATAAGAAAAATATATTATTGTTAAAAAAAAGATTATAAGTAGTTATTATATTTTATTGTGGAGAAGCAGTATATAGATTAATTTCTATAATACAAATTTTTTTTTTTTAATTTTTCCATAATTTAGAAAAATTATTTTTCATCAATTTGTCATTTTTTTGGACATTTAAAATCTTTAATTTCTTATATCAATGTTAAATAATGTTTTAATAGTGTATAAATTCTTTGGTAAAATAAATAATATTATAAATTTAAATAACTTACAACAATCAAATAACAGTTAGCCTAAAAATCTCGATTTTATAAGAGAAAAAATGTTGTTCAATTATTATACTGCGTTTAATACTAATTTTAAATTGTTAATTTAAAAATAAAAATAAAAAAGATCAACTAATTAAAAATTTCCTTAAAAAAAAAAAATTATTATAGGTGTAACAGAGATGAGAATGCTTAGATGGATGAGTGGTGTGACTAGAGAAGACAGAATAAGGAACGAAAATGTAAGAGGGAGAATAGGTGTAACGTCAATAGTGAATAATAAGAGAGAAAATAGACTTGGATAACTTGGTCATGTTATAAGGAGATAGGAATCGGAAGCCGTAGGAACAGATATGGAAATGAATTTTAAAGGAAGAAGAAGTAGAGGAAAGGCAAAAAAGAGATGGTGAGATGTTATTGAATATGATATGAGAACGGCTGATGAGGGGGAGATCGTGTCAAGTGGATGTCTAGAATAAGTGTGGCCGACACCAAATAGTTGGGATAAAGGAGAGGAAAAAGAAAAAAGATATTAAATACATAAAACGTGAGATAATTTAATACAGTAGTTTTTCGACGGTCTGTAGTACAGTTTTAGTTGGCGATTATCAGTGTAAATTTTTTATTGTACATATCGTTTATTTTATAAATAATTCATTTTATTATTGTTTTAATAAACGGTTTTATTTTATTTTTCATTACGTTCATTTGTAACAATATTATTTCATGGATAAGACATAAATGTTCAATTTTATTATATACTTTCGTATATAATTTACCCATTATATTAACCAGTCGTTCTTCCACAGATCTGGTCTCTTTTCTAAACACCCTCTCAATTTAATTAATACCTTTTTATAATAATATTGGTTGACTGTCTGTCCACTAGGAACTCATTCAACCAAAATTGTATCCTTAATTTCAAAGGAAACAATGAGCATTACTTTGAATTTTAACTTACACATTCACGCTTTATTTTTTTGGGGGGCGGAGAATTTTATGTCTTCCAATGTATGGATTACCTTATTGTTTCACACGTAAGAACATTATTTAAAAAAGATTAATCGTCTTTTAAGATTTTTAAAGTGTTTGAACAAATCTCTTCACGATTGAACTTATGAATTACCGTCAAATTTTTAGGGACCATTTTGACACACACTTTTCATGTTTGAATTTTCAATTAAAATTCTACAAATACTTTCTCTTTTAATATTAACCATCTCTGTTATAGTCATTATACTTAATCGACGATTTTATTGAATAATTTTGTTGATTTTTCAACGTTTTGATTTGTTGAAGATAACCAATCATAATCATATTTCAATAATCTCTGTATAGACAACGTTAATAGTTTACGTTATATATAAAAAGTCTAGTTACTTATTTGTTTCACCTCATATATCATTCATCCTAAAATTAATTAGGTAGGATAACAATAATTTTTTTTACGATTTTTATATGAATTCTTTATGGAATTTCGATACTAATTCTGAATCTCACTTATGATTTTTTCAGTCATATCTAGTTTTTGAAATAATTACTAATTAGAAATGAAGCAATAAATATATAGTAAATTGTCGTCAAAAATAATTTTTTTTTTAATTTTCCAAAATTACTTCATGATATTTAATAAAAGCTGTTCAACACTTGTGATTATTTCACAGAGTTTAACCGATTTTTTTTGGATATTTAAAGTTGAGTTCAAGTGTCATTTTTTTTTAAAAAAAGCTAAAATATTGAATATATACTTTTTTAGTTTAATTTACAATTCTGAAACTTTAACTAACAAATAATTTTATAAAGATTTAAAAAATATTAACTTTATACATTTTTAATAAAATAAAACGAAAATATTATTGTTAGTACAAAAAATGAAGGAAAATCTTAAAATAATGATTTTTGAATTTATACTTTATGCACGTCAACTTATCGAGTAATTAAGTATCCGAATAACTTAAAATCTGCTATTAGACCTATTCCTAATAATCTAATGATATAAAAATAACTGAAAACTGAAAAAAAATACGTCTTTAATAAGTGGTTCAAGGAAGTGTTCGATTGTTAAAAATAATTGGATGAATAAAAGCCCTAACCTTACTTATCATATACACCTTATATGTCAGTCTTAATAGGTTCAGCAACTTAATGCACATTTTTATTGTAAGAAAAAAAAATTAAAATATAATGACATAAAGACATAAAAAATAATATTTACATATACAGTGTTCAGTAAGTAAGGAAATAGGTGAATTGTTATAAACAATGAGAACAATAGAAATCCGTTTCCTTACTTACTAAATACCCTATATAAAGATATATTATGCCTTATTATTATTAACCTTCATAAAAATTATGAAAATTAGAATTTCCTTTTCTTACAAATAATTGTCATTTATATTGAGGGTTCCTATGCACAACTTATTTTACTTGAAAAAAAGACTTTCTTTTATAACAGTTGAAAATTCTCGTTTTGATTAAGATCGAGCTTTTCTCTTTTATTGTAAGAAATATTTAAAGTTGTTAAGTTATTTGTACTTATTTTGTTATTCAGGTCACGAGATTATTGTTGGCGATGCCGTAGCGACGCAGTACCGGAATGACAAACAGCCCTGGGGCCTATCATGCCACCGAAAACAACCGTAACACTAGCCATACAACTGCAACTTCCACACCAATCTCTGCGACGAGCCGTCGGCAGGACACTTCCTCTCACTACATTATGCCTACAGATCCGTAAGCAAACTATAAACTTACTATAGAGAAATTAAAATATAGAATAATTTATTATCAAATATTAAATAAAATAACAAAATAATTTTTACTATTATGAAGAAATAGTAAAAATTATATTGCTTTAGTGTTACACAGATTTGATTTCTCAAAGGTTCGATTTTAAAAACAGTCAGTTAATAAATTCTGCTCTTTTGGTCCTAAAACAGTCAATTTCAAAAAAAAAAAAAAATTTTTCTTATAACAACATTGCTTTATTAATAAAAATCTCTGAAATTCTATAAAATGTATAACCATTTTAATGTTCTCGTCGTATTCCATTTATTCAAAGTAATAATAAAAGGAGATAAATTAAAGATTATGCATTATATTGTATTGTAAGAAAATAATTTTATATAATCAAATGCAAAAATAACTAACAACAATTTAACTTTGTTCAAATTAAAACAGGGTTTGCCAATTTCTTAAAATAAATATTATGAATTTACAAAATTAATTATTTAATTTGTAAATAATATAAATGTAAACGTTATTTGAATTATTTTTTTTCAAGACATACAGATTATTTGACATTGAATTATTGACTTATTATACGCCAAAGTCAAATTACTTATATTTTACATTGTTTAATTCGTTAAATTTGATGAGATCTGCCATTATTCAATTGTTGAAATTTGACTAAAAGACATATAATAATGAAACAAAGCAAATTGAGATGTTATCGGGTTTAAATACACATAGTTTAGTTTACAAACATTTCTTCCAAAAAATTAAGTGCAACATAAAGTTTTACTATGTACATATTAGCTTCGAATCTATTAGATGCAAATCTGAAAAGGTATTAATTTTACTAAGTTTTTTTTTTTAATTATTTAAACAATATAAATCTTTTATCAAAAAGTTATAACAAAATATTTGTTTATTTCTTTTTACCAGTATTATTAAAAGTCATAAAGTTATGAAAAAATATGTTTTGAAACCCATTAAACATTGTGTGTTATCAAGTATATTCCTTGTTTAATTCTTCTTTTTAGATATTAGCATCGATATAAAGCTGAGGAGATATTAATTTTACCATGATGAGTTTATTTATTTGTGTTTGTTACCACTTTTTCTCAGCTCTTACCGAACCGATTTCTTTCAACGATACGTCAAAAGATCACAAATCGTATCTAGTTGAAGACATTACCCTCAAAAGTTGAAAAAAATTCCCTTGTTCCCTGTAAATGGGGGAAACCTCCAAAAAAATTACAAATTTAAAAATCGCTAATTTTCTTATAATTTGTCATATTAATTTAATCAAAAGTTCTACAAAGTTTTCAATGAAAAATTGTTTATAATAATTTACGTACTTCTTTCGTTAATACATTGTTGATGAAAATTTTCTGATTTAAATGATTGACAAATATTTTAATTATTTTTAGCGTACTTTTATCAAAAGTAAATTTTTTAATCATTATTATTACTTTTTTGACACTTTAATATTATTTTTTAAAAGATGTACTACTTAATTTTACCAGAAACTTCTATTAAAAAAAATATGTTACTTTCATAAAAGATCTTTTTTCTTTTTTGAGGTATACATAATTTATACTATAATAATATATTTAGGATATAGGAACATTTCTAATGCAAAAACAGTGACGATAAAAATAATATTTTAATAATGAGGAGGTATAACATGAAACGCTAGTGAGAGATTATGGGGTGGACGACAGATGTTGAAAATTTAGTCGTTACACGCTGCAGATTTAATGGGTTTAGCTCAACAAGGGCTTTGTTGGTATTCTCAGTGGTGACTGTAGCGTTTTCAATGAGTCGATTTACATGCGTCCGGCAATGCCTTTAAAACAACAATGACACGCCGGAGTACATTAAATCGTGGACCTAACGTCCTCAGCCAAGCCATTCTTGTTCCTGGCTGTATTTGGTTTAAAGCTATCCATAGACTGTAACATTTTAAAACGTCATTGTGATCTGGTCAACAACGCCATGTTTAGGTCACAGCTACGTGATCGAACCTTAAAACAATTTGCGAAAAACAATAGTGTACTAACCTTTTTGAAACAATAACTTGCCGCAAATTCTATATAACAGGATAATGATGTACTGAGACGAGTTCGTTATACTTTACGACTTGATTTAGTCCCTACGGCACCAATTGAAATATACACGATTGTTGTCAATATAAGACAACAAAGTGTTATTTTTTATAATTCTCATTTAACTTCTGTTCAGTATATTTTTGCAATTTTATTTATGAACCAATAAAAAAAATTACAACTGTTAAATATAACGTGACTTAAGTTTCTTAAAATTTCTCTTAATTTTATTGAAATATATATTTAAATGTGTTTATTTAATCAATTGTTACTTCAACAATAATTCCTTTTGGAAACATTGTTTATGGAGGATGAAAAAAAAATTCCCAGATAACAGTGAAATCCATTATCACACCAAAAATAAAATAATTACACAAAACATTGGTTAATCATGAGTCAAAATTAAAAGTTTGGATTTATTGAAAAGAATTTAGCTCAAAATACTTGTATGTGTAGAGTTGCGTGATGAAGTTTAGATATATTCAGTGCAATAAATAAAAAATGAATCAATCAATTAAATATTAAAGAAATTTAATAGGAAATAAACAAAATATTCTTCTTTAAAATTAAAATTTTATTAAATAATTTTTTTTAACTTAAAAAGCCACAAAAATATTTCGTATACGTATTTAGGGAACAATATTATCATTATCAATGCTAAACATATACATATGTTTAGAGTTAAAAATTTGTAAAACAATTTTAATTTTAAATAATATTAGTCACAAGTGATCAATTTTTATTGTATAATTCTTCTTACTAAAAACTATTATTAAAAAAAAAATACCGAGCGCTATTAAAATATTTACTATAACATCAATAGAAAAGTAAACCTACTTTTTCTAATAAAATGTCTAATTAAAATACTACTAAAAATAAAATAAAACAAGTGAAGATATATAGTTACATTATTACAAGTTTTAGAAACTGATCAAAAGTTTTTGTATCAAATAAAAAGTGTAAAGTTTTTTTCACAAAATTACAGATAGTTTTTTCACTGAAACTACCGAAATAGTTTCATCCAGTGAATTTTTATTCACGAAACACATGTCGTTGTCACGTCAGATACAAGTAAAAACAATATTTTTACAGTTAACGTTAACAACAGTTGGGTTAGTATTGAGTGTTTTGGAATTCAAAATATTCTAGCCTTTTTAGCATAAAATGACTTGGTATAAAATCCCTTATTTAACATGAAAACTAAAGTTTGGTCGTATAAGCAAGTAGCTCAAACATATGTATTTCGTTAACATATACTTAAAAGAAAAATCCAACTTGAATTTTTTTTATTAAATTTATATACTTTTGTATCATTAATAGAGGTATTTTAAATTCAGATATTGAAAATAATATTAATATTTAATACATGAAATAATTTTTCAGGCATGGTTGCTGCGATCCAGCACCTACTGTATTGTCAGGAGCAGGCATCTGTTTTATAGTACTGGGGTATACAATGTTTGGTGCATTTACATTCATGACATTAGAAAATAGTAGAGATACCGTTCAACTGCGGTCTAATCAACATCAGCACCAGCCATCACAATCACAACCACAACAGCAACAGTATCAACCTAATAGAGTATTGTCCGCGTCCAACGATAAATTAAGAGCTCAGACGGTAGAAAAACTATGGAAAATTACGGAAGACTTAAACATACTTTATAGAGATAACTGGACAAGATTAGCTGAACAAGAAATTCTCAAGTTTCAAGACTCGTTAATAAGAAAATATGGAAATTCTAATCAATTAGACCGAAGGCATCGTTGGAATTTCGCATCTTCGTTTTTGTATTCCTTGACATTGATTACCACAATTGGTAAGAATTTTATTTTTAAATAATTCACTATAAATTAAAATATTAATATGTGTAAGGAACAAAAGGTAATAACCTATAGGAAATATAATTTTAATTATTTATCTAGGATTAATATGTTACTATGATAATGAAAATAGAATCAAAATTATAAACCCAATGTATAAGTTTGTTTACCCATTATATGTAGTCATTATTCATTTATTGCTACTTAGTACTTAATAATAATTCATGAACTCCAACCCAACTCTGTAAGATTTTCAAATTAATTAATGATTTTAAATAATTATAAAGCTACTGCGAACCGCCATTCTATATTACCTTTGATCGAATACGTTAGTATTGCACAAATTGGTTTATTTTGTTTGTTAGCATTAAATATATACACTTAGACCCATTATAACAACAAAATTTAATTTACACAGAAATTGTAAGTCGTCGAAAAAATTACTACAAAAGAACTTTAATTAATATTTTTGAACATTATATTCATCGATATTGATTTTAGTTTTTATTTAGATCTGACTTTTTAATGATTAATATGTTTTTTAAAAAATCTATTACATTTTAATGTAGAATGATAATTTTAAAAATGATAAAGATTTGAAATATTGATAATTTTTTATTATTCGCAAATTTTGCTTTTTTTACGTCCAAATCAAAAAAATACTCACAATTATTCTCTAGTTATAGTTTTCTACTTTTTTGTTATTTATGATTATTCAAATATATACTTAGCATTTTAGACAGTGGTGTTTGGAGAGATTTACACGGGTATGTGATGTTTACCCATTAACATTTTTATCTTCGATGCGAAACTGAGAAGGTATTAGATTTACTATGATGTTTTTTTTTTGTGTCTGTTGCTACTTTTTTTCAGCTCTCAAAGGACCGATTTATTTTAAAAATACGTCAAAAAATTACAAATCGTATCTAGTTGAAGACATTACCCTTAAAAATTGAAAAAATTTCTCTCGTTCACCGTAAATGAGGAAAATCTCCAAAAAAAATTACAATTTTAAAAATCAGCAATTTTCGACTTTTTATTCTTAAAACTACCATAACTTTTACAAAACTTCAAACCTTAGGTATTTTCTTTTTGTTTGATATCATTTTTTTGAAATTCTGACCCTTTATTTATCCACAAGAGGGGATTCAAAATTGTAACTTTTTTACAACTTTTACATATTAACTTTTTAAAATGTTCCGTAAATACTGCGTCTTTTAAATTAAAGTTTATGTTATGTACTATAAATTAAAAACAAAATAAATTTGTCCCGGCAGTTTATCTTCTACGTGCAAATGGTTGCCGTAGTTAAAACACATGCTATTTTCGTATTTAATTTTTTTTTTTAGTTTATTTTAAAATACCTTACAAGGATTTGCCATAGTAATGAGTCCACCAATTATTATAAAGTTCCATTAATCTAATTTACATTAAATATAAATTTAAACTTATTTGATTATTTTACCTTCTCAAAGTTAAGAAAAGCTACTTTGAATTGTTAAATTAGCTTACATAGTTATTATATAATTACAGATATAGTACTCAATGGCTGCGTCGTATAATAATCACTATATACGCATGGGGTATAAAATTTGAACCCCGCTAGACAAAATAATTTTTTTGCATTTTTTCTCAATTCTTTTTTGAGGTAGAAAAAAAATTGAATATGAATAATAATAAATAACATTCAATCATAATGTTCAATAAATATCACTGTCACCGTAGTCTCCCCTTGAAAAATCCTTTAATTCTAGCAATCTAGTCAAATATTTCAAAAATATGGTACTTCAAAAAATTTGTTTTTATACTGAATTACATAGTAAACTCATATCACTAAAATGAAATATTTTTTTTTAAGATTATAGATCAATATATAATTAACTAAACCAAATTTTTCAATTGAATTTCAAGTCAACTGAAATTAGATTTTTTCTAATACCTCATTTTTGAGATTATTACGAACTCGAAAGCCAGTATTTACAAATGAAAAAATTTAATTAAAAAATAATTTGTATCAAGTTATTATTAATTTTTAACATGTTTAAATATAATTCGTGTAAAATTTAAATTCACAATGTCATTTTTAACTTATTTTTTTGATCTTTTAAAGTTGACTTTCATGAAAGTTTATAATTTAAAAATATTGAACTTTTAAATACTATTTTAGCTAAACTTGAAAGTTTAAATTTAATATTATTAAGTAAAAAATTTTATAAGGAATAAAAAATTGTATTTTTTAGATTAATCAGAAATTCATATTATTACTATTAACAGTAAATTTATAAGGAAAACTCAACATTTCGTTAAAATCAACTTTCCGGAAAGTCTGACACTTTTATATATATCTTAAATTAAAGCTAATGTAATATACTTTATTATGATAAAAACAAATTTCGGACTTTATTTTGTCTTCACGGTGATAACAGACATCAAAGTTCATAAAAAAAATACGATTTTTGTAAAAAAATTCTTTATATATTTTTAACTTTATAATGCTATAACATTTTGAAAAATGTATGGATCAATATAATTTTTTTTTGTAGATGCTTGATGTCTTTACCTATCAATTAGTATAATTTTTTTATACATTTGACCTATTACCTGTCCACAGGGGGGGATTTAAATGACAACTTTTTCACAAAAACTTTACATTTTTAACTTAAATTTTTAAAGTGTTCCGGAAATACTGATATTTTTATATAAACCTTAAATTAAAGCTAATGTTGTAATATTACTGAGAACATTTTTACTTTTTTCTTCTTAATTTAAACATTTTTATAACTATTTTGGTATTTTTATTTCGATTTAAAAAGAAATTTATGTATTGTGCAGTTCTTCAGGACCGCACGAACTTATATAAATCAATAGTTCTCGGAAACAAAAGTTTACAAATGGGTTAAAAGTTTTCTTTTTAATAGAGTTTTTGCTTTCATTTCAAGTATAACAGCTTTTTTTTGTACGTTTTTGCAACTTTCATTTTTAAATAAACACTAAACTTAAATCATTAATAAATTGAATATTATTTATAAATTTTCTTTAAAAGCAAATAATAATAAATTTAAATAATTTTAATTATGATGAAATCACAATTTTTTTAATACCTCATTAATTATTTATTAAACTGTATTAGATTGTTAAAAAAATATATTTTAATCTTTTAACTATAATTTAAATAAATTCCTAAATAATAACTTGCATTTACTATAAAAATTAAAGAGAAATAAATTAACGATAAAATAAAATGAAATAATGATAACTTCTCAATTATTTATATTACTAATTATTAATTAATTTTTACTGGATAAATTTAAGTCTTCTTCGTTTTCCTTGCCTTAATCCCAACTACTTAAGGTGGCCACCCTTATACGCTCACATCAGCTGTCCTCATATCGCATTTAATAACACCCCTTCATCTCTTTTTTGGTCTTCCTTTACAACTTCTTCCTTCAATATTCATTTCTATAACTGTTCTTACAGCTTCCGATTCTTCTCTCCTCATAACATAATCAAACTATCAAAGTCTATTTTCTTTCATCTTATCTGCGATTGACGTTACACCTATTCTCCCTCTTACATTTTCGTTCCTTATTCTGTCTTCTCTAGTCACACCACTCATCCATCTAAGTATTCTCATCTCTGTTACACTTATTCTCTGCTCTACTTTTTTGTCAATCACCCAAAACTCTGAACCATTCATCATGGTTGGTTTCACTACAATCTTATAGAACTTACCTTCTAGCCTCATTGGAATAACACACCAGACGCTTCTCTCCACTTCAACCACCTGCAGTTAATTCTATGTCTTACATACTCATTAATATCACCATTCTTTAACTGATCCTAAATACTAAAAAATTTCCACCTTTCCTATTACGTCCTCGCATATTCTTACTTATCTCTTCATCTTACCTACTTTGTGTTTTGTCAAACTCGTACTCTATATACTCTGTCTTACTCCTACTTATTCTTATACCCTTTTAGGCAAGAGCTGATCTCCACACCTCTAACCTTTAATTAATTTTCTCCCTATGTTCTCCTTTTAACACAATATCGTCAGCAAACAATATGCACCACAGCACCTCTAATGTATTTCTCTATTAATTTCATCCATCACTATAGAGAATAAGTAAGGGCTTAAAGCAGAACCTTGGTGCACTCCTACTCTTACCCGAAAACCTTCTGATACTCTTCCTAGGCTCTTTACCCTGGTATAAGTGCCATCATACATAACTTCTATTATATAAATGTACCTTTTCGGGCCTCCTTTTCTTATTAATGCCCACTTTAAAACCTCTCTCGGTACTCTATTATACGCTTTCTCCAAATCTATAAATACCATACACAGCTTTTTCTTTTTTCCCTAAACTTTTTTATTAGTTGCCTCACACAAAATAATGGCTTCATTGTTGACTTACCAGGTATAAATCCAAACTGGTTTTTAGATACCGATGTCTCATTTTTTATTTTCTTATCTATTACTTTTTCCCAAATTTTCATACTATGACTCATAAGCTTTATGCTTCTATAATTTCCACACTCCTGTATGTCACTTTTACCTTTAAATATTGGCATCACAATACTATTCCTCCATTCATTTGGAATTTTTCCTTTTAATAAGATTTTATTTTCCATACTTCTACTGGCACTTCATCTGGTCCTACTACTTTATTATTTTTCATTGATGCCACAGCCTCCCATACCTCTTTCTCACTCGATGAATTTAAGTACTCTCTTTAAATATTAAAATCTATAAATCCAAATAATTCGTAATCAATTTATTTATTCTATGTAAACATTTATAATATTTTTTAGAAATATATAGAATAGATTAGCTATTTTGAAAAAAATACTTAACCATTCCATTCAGTATGAGATATATTTATAATTACAATGAAAATAATCTGTTAATTCAATATTTTTTTAATAATATTCATTTTATAATTCGAAATTATACAATACTTGTCGTACGTCGGTAGNTTGAAATTATACAATACTATAGGACGAATATGATTACTTTATATTTTTGCTCACTAAATTTTTTTTTTTACTTTTTTTTTGTAAACCATTATACCGGTTTACAAATAGCACATATGTTATTTTGTTATTGTCTGGTAAATATTTTTTATTGTATTTTTTATACAATAAAAAAATTGTTTTATCCAATTTTTGAAAATATCTTTTGTTCAAATATTTAAATTAGAAACCAACGTATTAAGTTAAGTTATTAAATTATTGTTTTCATACACTATTCATTTTATATTCACCAACTGATTGAAATTAATAATTTCTTTAAAAACATGTTTTAATGTAGTAATGTTAAAAAATGTATATTTCAGGTTATGGTAATGTGACTCCACAAACACCCTGGGGTCGAGTTATTACCATTCTGTATGCATTAATTGGCATACCATTAATGTTATTATATCTTTCAACTATGGGTGAAACTTTGGCCAAGAATTTCAGACGCATCTACTCAAGGATGTGTTCTGTTCCGTCCCGTCGAGATGAAGAAGATGATGAACGTCAGGATAGCAGACGTAAACGTCTTCCTCCTAATACGGTGTCAAGTAACCACATAGGAACTACTGGAGGAAGTGGTGGTGAATTCATCGACTACTATCGATATGACTTTGAAACGATAACGGGTGCTACTGCATTACCACCTATTTCTCCTTCGTCTGCAAATATTAGTTTTAGTAACCAAAAACGAGTGCCCATCCTATTGTCACTTTCCATCGTTGGATTATACGTAGCTTTGGGGGCGTATATCTACCACAAGCTCGAAAAATGGACGTTGTTGGAAGGGTCATACTTTTGCTTCACCAGTCTAGGCACTATCGGTTTTGGCGAGCTAGTACCCGGTGGGGTANACTATCGGTTTTGGCGAGTTAGTACCCGGTGGGGTAGAAGCTACCAAAGACGTATCGGTCTTTGTGTCGTCTGGCTACATACTCATTGGCATGGCTATTGTAGCCATGTGCTTCCAATTACTACAAGACGAATTAGCCGCCATTGCCCGAAATTTCCGATGGTGGTGGTGGTCAAGTAGAAAAGAGTTTGAGGATGCGGCTAACAGTAATGATTCTGTATTAATTGTCAGCCCGACGCATAACTCCTGACAAACAGATTTCGGGCCGGTGACGGTAATCGATCGATCGCCACCGTCACCTTCTCTCGTTAAAAAATTGCCACTACCACCACCGGCATTCGACGATCACGATCGACATCGCAGTGGAATGTGCAACGTGCAAGTTCCTCTTCCTCCACTTTCATTTCAACGAGCTTCCGTTGGTCGCTGTTCCGTTCAGCCAATCAGCAGAACAATGGCGTCCGCAGCCACCACTACGGAATATTTGATACCCCGCAGTGCTAGTGAACACAATCTCTGTTCAACAATTGAACTGGAGAAACTACCACCTCTACCACCGTCCGCTTTACGTGTTGTTTCGGCAACACCACCAGCTAAACAGTCTTGTATCGTTCGATCTAATCGTGACAAAGTAGTCACGTTTGAAGATGAAAAAAGAACGTTCAAAGATAGCAATCGAATAGCTAGTAATAATANTCAAAGATAGCAATCGAGTAGCTAGTAATAATGATCTAGATGTGCGAAGTTTTCATTCAAGTAATTGATATTAAATTATTTTTAAAAATATTGTTAAGCAGTGCTCATATTAATAATTTTTAATTCATTTTTTCTGAATGGACGTAAAACTAAATAAAAGGCAATTACAATTTTTTTAACATTTTTTGTGTAAAATTATGAAATTTAAATTAATTTTAATAATTTTAGAAATTGAGTAAATTTTCTTTAAATTTCTTTAATTATAGCGCATTATAATTTTTTAAATAGTTAATATATCTTATAATTAAAATACAATTTCCATTTAAAATTTGAATTTGCAAAATAAAATACTATTTGGATTTTTATTTTTTAATATAAAGCTTTATAAAGTAAATTTTAAATTCCACCTAAGATAGATATTTTCAAAATCAATTATTTATCTTTTCAATAGAGGTATATTTTTATCAAACTATATAAAAAGGATCACAAAGAAATGATTTTAATTTAATTTGTTCTTTAAGATTACATTACTTTTCTAATAAAATAAGTTATCATTAAGTAAACAAACAATAGCCTTTATTTTATAACCCTATAATTCAGCCAACCATTAATTATATAATATCATTTACTTAAATTAACTAAATGGATTTCAATTTTTAAAAAACAAATACTTTATTTACTATAAAAAATATGACTACACAATTAACGAAATATTGGTTAAAATAATTTAAATAAATTTTATTAAAAAATCCAACTTATTCCTAAAAAAAATAATTTTTCTTTTATTATTTCTCAAATGTTATTTCTAAACAGTATATTTGATATTCAAATGTTTCTATAGAAATTCCAGTCTAAATTTAAAACTTAATAGCTAAAAGTTATTCATTAGATACAATTGGTAACTATTCTTAAATATTTACAAAGTATTGTAAACATTTTATTTCTGTTGAAAATTATTTCGAATAACCCTTCAAAACCGTTTAAGAGAAACCTCCAATATTTTAAAATAAATATAATAAGAACATACAATTCTCATAAATAAATAATAAAATAAATTTATGTAATACTGATAAATAACTTATTCAAATTTTATTTGTAAAACATTTAAGCTTATTATTAATTACATATTTAAATATACCTTCGAACATTTTTCTATTGGTATATTTTATGACTAATTATGTTGAATCTTATACATTAATTTTTTTTTTATATATTCTTCCAATGTTTTTTTACTAAATAATTATTAACAAAAAGCCTTAGTAATTCATTTTTATTATTTTACAAGTAATTAAAATTTTAAAGTGAAAAACTAACATCAAATTTAACTCGATACAAAATGTTAACAATATACTCAGATGAACCCAAAATAGTTTAAAATAATTAATTTATGATATTAAAAGACTAATTAATAGATTTCTAATTTATGAAACTAAGGATAGGCATTTTTTTTTTAATCACTAACAAATATATACCTGTTTCTTTGTGATACCTATTTATTTAAAACATTTTTTTTCCAAATGTTTTCAACATTTAATAGTGAGCTTCTCTTTTTACTTTTATTGGACTATATAAAACAAGAAAAAAATTCTGTAAATCCGTAAAAAGTCATCTAGCAAGTTAGTAAGCACAATTTTAATGTCGAGTGCCTTTGTTCAACGCATCTTAAAGAAAATATAAACCGGAATGTACACATTCAGTCGCTTAAACTGTGCTCTGACTTAAGCCACTTGACGTTGATTTACATTTGTTGTTTTAAGAGGGCCTTATGAATTATAAATGTGTTTTCGCATCACTAAATGTCTGATAACCCGTAGAATATCCAACAGGCGATTGTGGGTTGAAAATGGCATGATAAAAACTTTCAAATAATATCTGTCAACGTCGAATACAGATTAAAGCCACAAATTATCGTCTCTTTAAATGACATCATCACTATCCACGACAGTTCTTCTTTGACCAAAAACAACAAATTTTACTTTTTCATTCAGTTATGGAATTAAATATTTTTGTTAGAATTATAAATTCTGTAACTAAAAAATGAGCATTTTTTAAAACAAAAACTCACTAATTTTCTCGGGCAAGAATAAAAATAAAAATTTTGTACTTGCAAACAGACCCAATACAAATAAAAACCCGACTAATAACTCATTATATTAATTTAACACGAGAAAGCTTAACTGTAGTAGTATGTTTATATGTTAATCTACACTTCAAATAGGCATTGTATTCTTATTTCTAAGTAACCCTATTACATTGATCGTAAAGCCATTCTGAAAGATATTTCGAGACTTTTTGTATTTTGTTATTATTGCATATACAATACGCCTTTAACCATATAACTAAATTGAAAATCAACACTTAGACATTCTTACATTATACGCTTTTGTTGGAAGAGACACAACTATGTTATCGTTTTTCAATGGTGTTGATCCGTTTATCGACAATATCAGGCTGTATTTGTTCGTTCATATTATTCTATTTGTCATCCGGAATGTAAATAAATCCATTAATATCCTCTTTTGGCTCTCTTTTCACTTACTATTTGTTTCATTGCTTGTATCGACTTGTTAGCCTTTAACCCTTCATATAATTTCTACCAGTATGGAATTAAATTTTTTTAGGATGGTCGGGGATCGAAAAATTGGTATAATTAGAAAAAAAACATTTTCATAAAAATTACTACAAAAAAAAAAAATTTCTATTTTATACTAAACGAAGAAATGTGTTAATTATTGATGATAGCTAAATTATTGTCACCGTGAGATAATTAGAAGAATTATGAACACTCAAAGGAGACTAAATAGTTGCACATTTGTAGTATATTATTTAATTTTTGATGAATAAACAAGTTTGTTGACTTTTTCAATTACTTTTTTGACCAATTTATGTAACATATTATATTAATTATAAATAACATTTTGTAAGATTTAAAGAACTGTTTTTGTTTATTGTTATATTTCTAATAAATATGAAAATTAGTATAATGAGAAAAATTACTGAGGGCCAACATCTTTTTTAAATTTTTTTCTTATATATGCTATTTAAATAGAGTCTTAAATTTTTATTTTTAAATACAATAATAGCATTGAAAATAAGTGTATATGAAAATTAATGTAACAGTAAAATAACTATTTATTGATAAAGCTGAATTAAAAACACAATAAATTTTTTATAGAATTAAAAAAAATTAGAACTTAAAAAGTTAAACATGATTAGAGTAATACAAAAACTCACAAGAGACTTAATCTTATTTAACCCATGTTAAACTTCACCAATGATAATTTGATAATTATCAGATAGTCTTATTCAACAACTCCAATTATTTTGATATTAATTAATTAAATTGTATGGGTTTATTTGATAAATAAAATTATATTACATTACTATCAGCAAAATACATCCTCATTAAATTCAATCTTTACAGCTAAATCACAAATATTTTTCTCAATTATCAGATCACCAATTAAATAAATTATGTATACGTACTTTTATATTTTTATCATTTGGATTTTTATAAATTCATATAAATAAAATACTAAAGAATTGTAAGTATGTTCAAATAATATTGAAGTTGAGGAGTATATGTTGTAGTATATGTATATAAAAAAAAATTGTATTATATATTTTAATGAATAATAAGTTACCCGAATAATTTATGGGACAAAATTGTGATTTTTGCCATAGGTATAAACTATTTTTAAATGAATAATTATTAATATAATATGATTGTGCTCGAGAGAAAAAAAATTTAATTTCTAATTAAGTACTGTTGTTCTATATTTTAAGTATTATGATTGTATAAACTAAGATTTTTTTTTTGATAATTCAAAGAAATTATTAAAAAATATTTGTTAACTACTTTTTTATGTTGACTTACATTATTATAGTTATAATGTGCCTATATTATAGGTTGTTATTTAATAATTATATGAAATAAAAATAAATTATTGTAAAAAGATATTTTATTTGATTGTATGGTTTATTGATTTATTTTTACTCCAGCCTACATTTTTTTAAAGTAGTAGGAATATAACAAGGAGCATCATCGGTGGGTTGGTCTATTGTAATTCAGAAGAAATCGATGCAGTATAGCGTACTTTTATAATGACCAAAAGTTTTCTTTTTATGGTATTGAGCAGAAAAAATCTATGTGTTACATATTGTTGTTTTATATTTATATTACTATTCAGTGAACTAAACACACACCACAAAATTAAGCAATATAGTTGTACTTTGTGCTGGATGTAGTACAGTTTAAAAATATAACCATTTAACAACCATGTAAAATGTAAATCCAGTAACATTGAAATCATTTTTTTTCATAGATAAAGCATATAATATTCGTAAAAACTAATATAACAGTAAATTGTGTAGTTTACATTAGACTGACTTTTTCAGCGTATATTTAAACATCAGCAATCTTTAGAATATTCAAGTAGTAGATTGTTTTATCCATATAAGTTTTCGTACAAATTGAATCGGGAAATAGTATGTGAAAGAAGTTCAACTATACCTGTGCCAATATAAAGCATATGACATAGAAAATGTCGATTTACAGTATATATATTTTTAAACATAAAATTCTTTTCTATAAATTATTCAATCTTCAATTACACACACACAAAATACATTTTTACATGATTGCTGAGGTACGCACAATGGACCAACAGGCCTGAGTGCATGGGCATTATGTCCACCTCGATAATAACTAAAACTAAACTAAAAACTACATGGTTGCTAAGTTCCTAGAAAAGAAGATAAAATCTAATTACTGCATTATAGCTATTATTGAGGTATCCAGAATATTTTTATAGGGGAATATATATATATATATAATGGAGTAACGCTTTATTATGTATTCATATAAAAAGAATTGGGTTCTTAAGACTATGGAAAAAATTATTGATATGCACTTTAAACCGAGGACTCTAAAGGAGAACCCTTTACATAGGAACCAACATTTAAAATTAGAAAAAATTTAGAATTATGGAAATTTACTAACAAAGCTCCCCATAATTTAACCATCATAGCGCGAAAGCTGTAGAGTATAAAATGTATAT